AACGCATAAACGGTTGTAGATAGCGCTATCTATTGTAAAACTTTTTTCTGAATTTTAATGATGATGTTTGGATTTTTTGCAATTACATTACATTGATTTTTGCTCATGCTTACGTTCCACCCCTGCGTTCATTATTTAGTAGCCAACTGTTTTTCTAAACATAATCAGATCGCTATTCAATTGGCTTGTGTGCTTTTCTGAATGATGCTGTTCCACTGAATGCACCTTGTAATTAGTTGCATAATCCGACGATGCAGATTCACCACATATCACACCGGGACAACTATAATTTTCAGCCCACTTGATTCGCCGTGAGACTTTTCGATTCTGTGGAAAAGCTGTCTCTGATGACCATAATCACCGCTTTCCATTTAGAAGAGCTTGAATGGGTAAGCATTATGAGGTAATCAAAATGACTAAAACTGCAATTATGTAATTATTCAGAGCCAAAATCTATCACATCAATGAAATGTAGGAAAATCTAACCACGAGGGCAGACCTCTTTCCATTGTATGGGGTTGTCCAAAACGGACGCAGGAAAGTAAACGCATATTAAAACAAGAAAGATTGATATTCAAATCAAGTTGGGTACTTTATTTTGAAGGTTCATTTATACCATTTATGTATGAAAAATAATATCGCTCAAATGTTCACCACGACTGGATTTACAGACGTCCACGCGATGGTCGAAATTTTCAATGACATTTTGCAACATGGTCGGTTCTATGGCTTTTATCTCGGCAATGATGTTGTTTTTGAGTTCTTGCAGGGGGGCTGGTTTGTTGACGTAGACTTTGCTTTTCAAATATCCCCATAAAAAGAAGTCCAAGGGAGTCAAATCGCACGATCTTGGTGGCCATGGCACATTTCCTCTGCGCGAAATCACGCGATCACCGAAGAAGGACTGCAATCGATGGATATTGACGTTGGTTGTGTGGAATGTTGCACCGTTTTGTTGGAAATAAACATCGTCCATATCCATTCCTCCAAGTTGCGGCAAAAAATAGTCCTCTATCATCACATGATATCCCTCAGAATTGACGGTAACGGCGTCCCCGGTCGCATTTTCGAAAAAGTAAGGTCCGATGATGCCTTTTGACCACAATGCACACCACACAGTCACTTTTTGAGGATGCATCGACTGCTCTTGATACTCACGGGGATTTTCGTTCGCCCAGATGTGGCAGTTTTGCTTGTTTACCGTCCCATTCAAAGTGAAATGTGCTTCGGCGCTGAACATGATTTTTGATGAAAAATTGCCATCAATTTGGCGGTGTTCAAGGAGCCAATCTGAGAACGTTCGGCGCGAAAAATGGTCGGCCCGACGCAGCTCTTGCATCAATTGGATCTTGTAGGCGTGTACATTCAAATCCTTCTGGAGAATGCGGAGCAAACTGGTTCTCGAAATGCCCAATTCCTGGGATCGACGTGTTGTTAATTGTTTCGGATCGTCTCTCACACTCTCCTTCACAACAGCAATATTTTCCGGTGTGCGAACGCTCCTTGGCCGGCCAGAGCCTGGCAGATTTGCCACAGAACCTGTTGCCTCGAATTTACACACCAGACGACCGATGGTTGTTTCATTTGGGCGGTTGTTGCGACCGAAATGTTCACGAAGCGCGCGAAACGTGTTTTTTATTTTTGCACCATTTTTGTAGTGGTCTTGAATAACTTTAATGCGGTCTTCAATCGAATACGACTCCATAGCGATCAATGGTAAACATTCAACTAACAAAATGACATGTCGGTGACAGAAAACAAAGATGGCGTCTATGTCAAATTGACGTTTACCTTCCTGCGTCCCTATTGGCCAACCCTTTACTAGTTTTGAGATGTCACTTAGGTAAACCTAAGATTTCCTAATTTGAAATGAAATGGATATTAAACATGTCCGAACTTTATCTTACATAAGAACAACAACAAAAATTCAGACTGTAACATGAAGACGCATTCGGCTATAATATTCTAAGAAAGATTGGGCACTTTATAAGTGCAAGCTTTTTTTGGAAGATGTCAAAACATCTGTAAGTGGACCGAGCCATCATAACCCATAAAGTTTACAATCTTCCACCGGAAACTTAATCCTGAGAATGGAGGAAGTGCCGCATAGGGGCATATAGACACACAAAAGGGGTGCTCGTAGAAGCATTTGTTCGATTAGAGATGTAATAAAATCAAATATTCAACTGTAATAGAGAATCTAAACATCAAATAAATTACATCCGAAAGAGGTTTTATTGGTAGAATTTTCCTTGTATATCGGTTTACTTTCACTTTAACTTTAACGACTATCCAATTCTCCCACCTGTCGAATTGGTAAGTGTGTGATATAATATCGTAGATCATCGGATAATATGGAGAAAATCATTTGTTGATCAGATTGTACATATTCTAAATTTCTCCCTTTTAAATGCGACACCACTGAATGTCTGACCTCTCGCTCGAAGAGGATCGTTCAGGAAGAGCAGGTACTCAGTTCTGTGCTTGGGTTTCGAGGAAAAAAAGTTTTCTGTTCATAACCGCTTAGATTCCCAATTTCTTTCTAATCATGCTTCCACAAATTTATCGATACGGTGGCTATTTAGATTATTGGTATCATAGTTAGGCCTTTATTATAGATCAATATCTTCCAACATCTCATCAATACTTTGAAAATGAAACTCAATCCCTTGATCTTATACGACTTATCTAATTTATAGTATATCTAGTTCTTCTTCCACATTTGAGGAGTTTGAAGTTTGGATTTTTGATTAATCATAACAAAATCAGTTAAATTTCTTCCTTGACAGTTACTTATTTGGCTGACAGAGTAACTCAACTAAACAACCCAGTCTTTTCTTTTCTAAAGTAATCTTTCCATATTGGGAGTTAATAAAACGGGTAATCTTCACCTCTCGATAATCAGTTGTTTCATTTCGTAGCCATGTAGTTCAACTCCACTTAACCCCAACCGAGTGTCAGACACTTACTTAAGCATCTCCAGTCTGACACTCTCGCGAATCGAGAATGAAGTGTCTAGAACAGTGCTAAAAGTGATAAGGTCATAGGTTTTGAAGATTCTTCTGATTAGTTTCCAATTATTAAATATATAACTAATGTGCGGCACTCAATACTACCGCCTTCTGCATGCTGATAAAGTTGTGCTTCCCTGGGACGGATTTTATTGCTTTGGAAATTAGTCCTGTTGCTCCAACTACGATAGGTATGATCTTCGTTTTGATATTCCATAGTCTTTGGAGCTCGATCTGGAGACCTCTATATTTCAGACATTTTGCGGCTTCCTTCTGAGTGATGGTCTAGTCTGATGGGATGGCAACATCTATTAGTAGGCACAGCTTTTGTATCTTATGTTTTAGAATTATGTCCGGTTTATTTGCTTTGTTTGCCCTGTTAGTTTGTACCTGCATGTCCCACATTATGGCAACATCGGGAGTGTCGACTTCAGGGTGCAGTTTATGATGGTACCATTTATCATTTACATCTATACTAAGTGACATATAAATCCGAACACCCAGTTTAAACGGTTTTATTTTAATAAAATTTTGTATAAGTACTTAATGAAGCATAATAAGTAAATGATAAAAATTTCAAAATGATTGCACTGCTTTAAAGCCCTTTGACCTTTAATAATGTGTGGATGCACCCTGATGTGCAACGCATTCTCCAACGCGCCTAGGCATGCTTCTGATCAGGTGGTCAATGTCCTCCTGTGGTATCTCATTCCAGGCAACCACCAACTCCTCTCGAAGTGCTTCTAGAGTCTGAGGAAGACGTTGAAAATTGAGCAATCTCCTACCCATCATATCCCACATGTGCTCAATTGGGGATAAGTCGGGTGATCTTGGTGGCCATGGTAACAATGTGACATCATTATGTTGAAAGAAGTCTATTGTGACTCTTGCAACATGTGGTCGGGCATTATCTTGTTGGAAAGTTGGATCTGCCAGGGTGTCAAGATAGGGTAAAAGATGGGGTTCTAGAACTTCGTGGATATAACGTTGCGCGTTCATGTTACCTCTGATGAAGATTAAAGGTGACCTGGAACCATAAGATATAGCACCCCAAACCATAACTCCAATAGTGTGATGAACATGTCTCTCAACAAAAAACTGTGGATTCCTCCTTTCACCACGTCGCCTTCTAACCCTGGCACGACTATCGTGCATGCCTAAACAAAATCGAGACTCGTCACTAAAGACAATACTGTTCCATTCCTGATCGCAGAGTGACCGTTGTCTGCACCTCTCAAGGCGATTACGTCGGTGTTCGCGAGTTAAAGGGTGGCCGGTATGAAAACAAGCCAAAACTTCTCATTCGTCGGTAAACACTTGCCATGCCAATAGGTCTTCCGAGTTCTGCAAACCATTCATTTGCAATGGACCTGGTAGTGGAGAAACGGTCCCTTAAGGCCAATAATCTTAGGCGGCGATCTTCACGGTCTGTTGTTCTACGGCGGCGTCCAGTGCCCCTTGCTCTTTGCGTACGGCCTTCTCGAAGCCATGCCTGACAACACCCTAACCACACAGTGTCAACACTTCTTTGCACTCTAACTGCAATTGCCCGAAAAGAAAGTCCAGCTTCCCGAAGTCCCACTATACGGCCCCTATCAAACTCACTAAGTTGACGAAATCGTACAGGTCTCCGTACTCTAGGCATCGTAACCGATCGTAAAGGATGTCAAGAACCAAAATCTGCCAACGTTAATTCTTTACTGCGACTAAAATATTCATTTTTAGACCGTTAGTGAATTAAAAAAAGCACTATAAAAACCGGAATGTCCAACTGATAAGGCTGAAAAATTTTTCACTTCTTATTTACAGTAAGATAAATACATTCACCAACTTTTATTAAAATAAAACCATTTAAACTGGGTGTTCGGATTTATATGTCACTTAGTATATAGTGTACACTTTGCAGATATTCCAATGGAGTTGTGCTGCTACTGTGTTGTGTCGATCTAAATAGACCTTCTTGGCAAGAACTGGGCAACCAGGAACCACATGATGGATAGTCTCATTGCATGTCCGGCAAAGTCTGCATTTTAGGTCATTGCCGGATTTCATAATTTCAGCCTTCATGTAGTTGGTCGCGATTGCTTGTTCCTGACAAGCCGTAACAAGCGCTTCTGTCTCAATTTTTAAATTAGCGTGCGTGAGCCACTTCCAAGCTAAACTGCTGTCGACGGTATGGTGTTCCACTTCTTGTATTATTTGACCATGCATACATAACCTTTTTCCGTCCATTTTGTTATCTGTTCTTTTTTCATTTCTGTTTTCATATCATCATACGAGTATCATCTTTAATCAGTTTAACTTTCTTTGTTATATTGTTATCTTCTAGATCTTCTTGGGTTCTGCTTCCAGATTTATATTGTTGTTGCCTATTCACCATACTGAGACACTTATCACCTTTTTTCAGTTTTAAATAGTTTTTGATTCCTTCCAAAGCGATAGTGCAGCTGTTTTCTTTATTCAGCATTCCTCCTGCTCCTTCTTTTCTGCTGACGTACAACCTATCAATATCAGCTCTTGGATGGAGAGCGCCATACATGGTTGAAAGTTTGTTTGTCTAATTTCCTTATTTCAGCTAGTATCCAATTTATAATACCGAAGCTGTACTGGATAGCAGATACCGCTGAAGAGGTAAGTGCGGATTTTTTACACTTATTTCCGTCTTCAATATATTCCTAACTCTTCGGTAATATTATCTCGCTAACTTCGCTTTCATAGTCTTGTGCTGTATTTTGGCACGTTCATCGACACCTAAATGTTTGTATTCCTCATGCTGTTCTGAAGATCTTATGGTTATGGCATTATCATGGAAGATATTCTGGCTGGTTGTCATTTTGCCTTTAAGGAAAGTCGCCTTGGCGCACTTGTCTAGACCGAACTCCATTTTAATGTCATCGCTCATCTGCTTTACTAGCTGAAGTTGCTTGGCGAGTTCTCTGTCATTCTTGGCTATTAATTTGAGATCGTCGATATAATGTAAATGACTTATTTTCTGTTTTTCATATATGCATTGGTACCCTGTATTGCTTTGATTCATGATGGAACTTAAAGGAAACAGCGTTATGCAGCATAGTAGCGCAGGCAGAGAGTCTCCTTGAAAAATGCAGCTTCTGATATCGATGTTTTCTACTGTTATTGTGGTTTTATCTTCGTCAAGTTGAGATCTGTCTTCCACATTTCCATGGATTTACTCAGAAAAGATATGAGCACATCTGATGTTCGGTATATGTTAAGGGTTTCTATTAACCAACTGTGAGAAGTACTATCAAAAGCCTTTTTGTAATCAATCCATGCTAGTGATATTACGATGTTCTTTACAGTCCTGTTGTAGCATCTTGCTTGTTAGCAGATGATCTTTACAGCCATATGTATTTTTCGAGCATCCTTTTTGTTCTTGCGGGAATAAATTGTTTTCCATTAGGTGACTGTAAAGCCTCTCCGATAATATTTTTGTTAGGACTTTGTATATATTATTGACACGTGATAGGTCTGTAGTTTTTGGCTTGATCTGCATTTTTATTTTTGGGTATTAGGTGTGTCTGTCCTTTTGTGAGACAACGAGGAATATGCTGTTCATTCCGTAATATTCTGTTGTAGACCGTCAATAGGTATTGGTAACTTGTAGCGAGTACTGATTTTTTGAAATTCGCGGCCTTTTTTGGCGAACGTCGAAAGTGTAGCAGAATGAGTATCTTTGTATAAATGTGTTCGAAACCGAAGCTCTATAAATGATTCTGTTTATTCGAAGCTGCCATTACAGCCAAACAAACATGCATCATGTTCCGCATTGAACGATAGTCCTTCCTCTGCAACGTCTAGTTATATTACCCTATCCAAATAGTACGCGAGGCGTCCAAGCTCAGGAAATTGAGTCGGAGTGAAACAATTGACAGTCTTGAGCGTATCAACAGGTGGCATGGCGGAGATCGATTGCAGAAAATAACTAGGTTGTATGTTTGCTGACAAATGGATAGTTTGCATGCCAGTGTACCGCGAACCCAGTTAAAGCCATTCAAATTCGTTTTACGGCAGTTACTATAAACATTCACGTTTTACATTAAGGGTTGCCGCATACTTTCTAGCTCTGCTATAAGATTCTCGCGATTGCTTCAGGAATAAAGCTAATTTTATCCCATAAGATCTCTTGAACGAAAAGAAAATCGCCGGGTTCTTGAACTATAGGGAACGAGGGTCTCAGCTTAAAAAGATATAGTACATAAACATATCGAAGATATACTGAGCGACAAAAAAGCAAAGCAATGCCAGACCGCATATTGGCAGAGCATTGTTAGCCTTCATGGATCAACATTGCATCAACTGTTTACACTGGCCACCACGATCGCCTGATCTATCTCCAGTTGAACATGTCTGGGACATGATCATTCGCAGGCTTTTGAATTTGCAACACCCTCTTCAGACCTTAGCAGCTCTTACTAACGTAGTTGCAGGAGCCTGGAATGAGACACCCCAAAAAGATATCGACCACCTTATCAGTACGTTGCTCAGGCGTATCAATGAGTGTATAAGAAATCGTGGATTCTCAACACATTATTGAACCAGCTTCTGCAGTTAGTTAACGAATCAAGCTAAAAATTTAACCATTTTACTAGTAAGGCACACTGAACATATATGCCAAAAATTATTAAAATCAGATAAACATACGTAGGTGCGTACCTTTTCTTGTCACCTAGTATACAACATAGCAATAACATACCATAGTCAAGATGTCCTCAATTTAAATTAAAAAAGGTTGTCTAATCGAAAATGTCCTTACCAACGATTCAAGGAGATCTGTATTCAGCTATTTGAAGGCTTTTCAATTAGCAATTTATTTTAGGAGCATTCCAATAACAATAACTGTCAAACATACTCTTAAAGTGTCAGCTTAATTAAAGTTATTAAATCATCCATATTTAAAAGGGAATAGTTATATTTCCTACATAGGAAAGATGAATTTTTTTATAAAAACTCATCAACTTGAATGTCCTTGTAATCCCACCGTATCAGAGGTTGAAAAGATGACTCATAGCAGTTGTATCTTGCTCTAACAATTATTCTATGTCTGGATTTCTATCTAATAATGCACGAGTGATCAGCCATCTTCAAACTATTAAAGAGGACGGTGCTACGACCCCAACGGAGTTTTCTTTACATTAGTCATAGAGAGATTAGCTCCAGCCGCATTATCTATGGAAATCTGAACCTAATGCTTGGACACGCATCAAGCTACTTAATCGCTAGGATAAAGAAGGATTCTTCTAGGAAGCTACATGTATCGTCCTACATGCTTTTGAACACCGTGGATGTTTGAAGATGTGAAATAAACTTGAATGTTACTTAAACTTATTCTCCAATCGATCGTGTAGTTTTCCTCTTCCTAGTCTACATTGACCATTAGGATTCTGAAATGCATTAGAAGTATGAGTATTTTAGCCCCGGCACATTTTACAGGGTATCTAGATAAGTGACCTGGTGATACGCTATTGAATAAATAGGACATAATAAGAGAATCTGGCAAAATTTATTAATCTGTACTCTGCTTCAATTACGCCCGAATGCATCGCCTTGAAAAGGTTGACTTCAAGCTAAGCTGATTCATAATTCCGACATTTTAGTTGCATCAGTTACATTAAGAACTTGAGTCGAATATCTCAAATAACTGTTCCCAAAGATTGAATGTGGAGAAACAAACCTGCTATGTATGGGATTCCTGACCCATCATACAACGGAATGTTTTGAATTGTGATAACAAATTTGTCCGTATTGAGGCTAATTGATGACATGCTGGATTTCCCCCAAAACTGACAAACATATGATAGATTGTGTATATATATAATAATGTTTTAATATAAAGTACAACAACTATCATTATGATTGCTTTTTGAAATATTACGCGAAAACTGTGAGGAAATTTAATAGATTAGCTGTGATAGTTTGAGCATATTTGTTGGACATCGCTAACTTGGGACAGCACCAATCCCGACGGGTTCAGTGGGATGCCAATGCTTGACTTTGGCTGCCACAGCACGTTCACCAATGCCGAGAGCGAAAGATCCTTTCTGCAGTAGGATCCCGCGCCAGAATGCGTTGGGATGCTGCGGCTTCCGAGATTCTTTTCCTTTGGTGTTGTAAGCTGGCGAGGTGGCATCAGATCTCGACAGTGCTTTCCCTCTGACATGCCGTCCCAAGTTAAACTGCCACATGTTGACTGATCTCCAGAAACTCGGTAAAAACTACGCAAGAGTGAGCAGTTTGGTGTCCTTTTAGAAATTTGCTTCATCCCCTATAGTCATATAATTTTCACATCAAAACCAATTTTAGGCATGGTGATATCTTAATTCAAAAATGACCAAAGAGAAAACAACAACAATGACAAAATAGGATTCATAACGAAAAAGTTAGATGCAGGTACATACAGCTTACACAATAGTTTATTGTACCATTTAGACCCTGTTAAAAACGAGCAGCACTAAAACGTTTCTTACTCAAATATTTTCAAGTATAGATTACATAGTTGAAATCAAAACAATTAATAGTCGTTTCTTATTAGGATTACTGAAAGACCTCATATAACATAAATAAATTATTTATTTAAAACTAGAATAAATTAGTACATATCTTACAGAGTATTTAACTTAAAATATACATTTTATAATACTGTGATATAACAGCCATTTGGTATATCTATTCAAATTAATTGCAACCTAATCTAAACAATGACTACATGTTTTGGAGTGCTTTTCTCATAGAAGCATTTGATCGTATGGAAAGCGGTGTCGGGGCCATCTTTTCTTTTCTGTGCACAGGCGTCAACGAGTTTGGAAGCAGCTGCTTGGTCACCGATCAAAGCCTTGGACTTTTCCTTTAGTTTTTCCTTCAGGATCTCACCTAATGATAAAAAAATGATTTTATACCAATTCAAAAAAAAAAATCAGAATCATTTACGGGCTTCATTTTTTGGAATCATGCCGCGAAACATTCGGAAAATTAAAATTCTGACAGTTCTGACGCCAAAAAGATAACTTCAAAATTCAAAAGATATCTCATGCATCATATAAACAGTTTCTCACAAACTGTTTTTACAGTATACAAGAATATATGCAGATCCGTGGATTGTTCTGAACAACATATTTTTATCATTATATTGATTTTAACGTGTTCTCTGTCTTTGTTTTACAATGTAATTATAAATGTGTTATTGTGTTATTGAGTGTTTACTGCTTTAATGTAACTTTAAGGATTATCTGTCATTAAGAAAAAGTCATTACTTGACGCTACTGTGTTTTTAACCTATCTAAATATTTAATTGTCAATACTAACATGAAAAAGTATAGAAGCTGTCGATCTTTTATGGAAACGTGGTTTACTTTTTTGTTGAGCATCATTTCTAGAATAAACATGAAACAACACATGGCAGATTGGCGTAACAGCCGTTTGGCGGTGAGGTTTAAATTTGGCTGACGGCGTAATGTGTACGAGTGAGAAGCGCAAGAAGCGTACAATATTGTATATTAGCGTCCGTGACCTCGTGACTCGGGTTGCTAGGCAACGAGGTGCTTCTATCTCATTCAAACATACATACGTATTAGTTGTACATGGATTTCATTGCTCTATGACCTTTAGCCCTTTACTTTCTTTTTTTTTTTTTTTGTTGAACTGTGGAAGTCAAGTACCTTTGTTGTCCATGAATCCAATCTTCTGTGCCATACAGTACATATGGTTCTTCAGAGCGGCGTCTTCCTTGAATTCGCCCATTTTAGCCTTAGCTACCAGGTCTTGCTTAGCTTTGCTCTGAGCTAGGCATTCCGCTTGGAAGTTTGCTGCGCTATCTTTGGCCTGCGGTTGTTCTTTCTTCACATCTTTCTTCTCATCTTTCTTCTGATCTTTCTGTTCCTTGCTGGGCTCTGACACAGGTTTTGGAGCTTGAGCCGTTTGTGGAGCTTCCTTCTGTTGGGTTGCTTTTTGGTCTTTGGGCTGTTCTTTTACTGCCTGAGGCTAAAAAAGAGAGTTTTTAGAGTTAGTATTTGTTTTATCCTAGTACCAAGGCAGACTTGAAGCAAACGTTGAGTTTCTGCAAAAGCCAAACTCGTCCTGATGATGATGAAGTTGAAAACATAAAATAAAGCCCGACTAGAACGTTAAGGTTTTTCTAGCGCTAGCATTGAATCTATTACTTTTTTAACCGGTTTAAAAGGCGCATGATGATTAACCCCGTTTATCCCTTGTAGTACAAATTAATAGTTTGAGCCTATGAAGTATAATGTAGCTCCTCTTTTTACAAAATCGGCTGTTTCATTAATCTATTGCCCAATTTCCTAGTTTTGTTCATATATAATAATTTCTACACCACTGATTTTTCAGAAACTATGGCGTATTTGGGTAAGGTACTTTATTTTGCATAAATCATCTCTCTTGAGAATTCTTGTCGGGTCGTTAATTTTACACACAATTTGAATCCGTTCTACTTTGAAAAAATAACTTCAACATTATAAATTGAATATAGTTAAGAGGAGTAGTTCCAGCTCATTTCGAGAATATTGATTGTTTTGATTCCAATCAGCCTCATCAATCGCTTATAAGATTTTACCGTCTCGAATCCTTATGTTATCTTAACTTCTACCATAGAAGTATTGCCATTCTTTTTTGAACCACCCTTTACAAACTTATTATTTTGCAATGTCTGTATTTATCTACATATAAACCACAACTCTATCATCAATCATATTTATATTCCTATAAAAGAGACGTTTTCTATTATAATATATACCTGGGGACAAAAATAAACTTTCATTGATTTATATACGGTTTATATTCACATGACAATAGGCTGTATTTTTATTCTGTACAGGAATCATTTATATGATGATAGCATGTCTTCTTAATAGAATAAGGGAATCAATAAAGGTGGGTTTTATGATGTGTGTACGCTACTTTTGTCCAGATTACAACACTAACAGACACATTAAAACTTTTGGGACGCCTGTCTTGTGCCATTTTTATTTCCCTTAGGTCAGGAATATTCTCATGGGATGCGTGGGGGTGAGGTTATTTTAGTGGGAACATTAGAAGGGAACATGTATTGTGTCGTTATCCCTGGTTAGAAAAAACCGTCATTTTGTGTTAGAGCCATTTCGGACCAGAATAGAGATACAAACACGTATTAAAGAAGTGAGTTTGTAAGAACATGGGGTGTAAAGCAGTTCCATACTTTTTGCCAACCGTCGTTTTTTTTGAAGCTCTGGAATGAGGATTTACTAACGATGGCTATATAAAAGTCGGCAAGCCTAGCTTAAACTAGATTACAGGATTAAGAATTCATGTAATAAGGAGGAAACCTCTATCATCGTATTGATTTTACTATTACAGTGATACACTTCAACGTATATCTGTTCAGCAAATGGCATTATTTCACAAGCCATCATGATAGATCAGCTCTACTGATCAATGTTTAATGATGGGGGAGTTATTAATTTTGAAAGTGGGCTTGAAAGCTGAAGCAGAAAGAGAGTCGCTTTTTTAAAATTGGGACAAGATTTTTCGGTAATAGCCTATCAGGTTTCTCAGATGCTTGAAATTTTTTAATTCACAATTTATTTGATCTTATGTTGTTACTTGAATATTGTAATTTGAAATCCTTTTCATGAGCGTAATATTTCATTATTGATTCATATCATTAAGGCGAGAAATGATACCTTGAAACGAAATATTTTGAAATAGTTTAAAGCATATAAAGTGGATTGCAGTCTAAAAGATTCATACCTATTATCCTGAAATCGTTAACACTATAAAAAACAATCATAAGGAAGTTAGAAAGACAGATTTTAAATTAGAACTTCCTAAGACTGAGGCTGTATTTTCGAAAAATAACAGTTTTGTGATATAAAAAATGTAGACAAATGTTTTGATTTATGATTCTGAATCTATATACTCTACGCTAATTTAAATTAAAGGTTTATCAATTTTGAAAACACCTACCTGTGGCTGTGACACGACAAATCCAACACATACTAGGAGAAGTACTGCGGCACACTTCATTTTGCAATTTGTTTTGTTGGAGTACTAGATCAGTATTGATCGAGATGATTGTGATACTGACCAAATAACTGCAGTTCATATTTATATATCAAAATCGATTCTTTGGCAGAAGGTTAACGTCGTTTTTTCACCATGCAAAGTACTCCAAGCTCATTTTATTTAATTTAGCGGTTTCACGCTCGTGATCACGGCGACAATAGGAATATAAAAATAGGATTAATAAAAATGATGTGAACTGGAAAGATGTCAAGAACATCGTCTGGTAGTTTTTGTATTTCTGATGGTGATACATCGACCCTTCCATAGGAATCATGCAGAACATGGACATCTATTTCCTTTACATATTTGTGGCACTTTTTACAAAAAATCGGTCCGGCAGTGATATTTTTCTTTGGACTCATCTCGGGTAGGGAGAGATATAGTCATAATAGTAACACAATAACTGTTTTCTTATTTTGCTGAAAGTCTGTACTCTTACTGATAATCTTCAAGTATTCAATAATATTTCGACACAGCTAAAACAGTTAAAAGTGGTCTAAGGTCAAAGTATTCGAAGAAAACTTGTTTTGTATGCGTTGTAATGTTTTTAATCTGTAATTTGTAGTAGACTCAGAAGTGATAGAATTCCAAATGTCCTTATCTCTTTTAACCAATATTTGACTTTTCGCGGGCGTTTGAAATCATTGGTTATAGACTACTTATCAGCAAAAATGAACGCAGCAGGGATACGTGGTAAAGCGACTGAGTGGTTTATCTTATATCTTCAACATCGTAAAATACAGGTGAAGATAAAACTCTTTCTGAAATGTTAGTATAACAACAACGAACTTAAACTATATATGAACAACAAACTAGAAAATATAGCAGAAACAAAAATAATACTGTGGACTGCAAACTTGCTAAAATTATATAAAAAATTCTCTGCATGTCTTTCGACAGATAAACATGTTGTGTATGTGACTTTTAAGTCACTTGAAGTGTTGCTTATAAGTTCGTTTGATTAACGTTCGCTTTAAGTCATTCTTCTGTAAGCTGTTCTGTAAGCATAGACTATGTTTTTCAATGTTCCGATAAAAAATCCATCGGTGTTAAGAGGGTTACGTGTGGGTCATAGAATTGTGCCAAGACTTTCTGAAATCTTTATATAACAACAAACTTAAACTATAGATGAACAACAAACTAGGAAAAAATACAGAAACAAAAATAATCCGACTACAGACGAACTTCCTGAAATTTTATAAAAAAATCTCTACATGTCCTCCTTCAACAGGTAAACATGTGTGACTTATAATTTAGTTAGTGTTGCTTATTAGTTTGATTAACGATTTCTATTTCCTCTCTTATTATTCGTTCTAAGCCATCTCGACTGTTGGTTAGCATATACCAAGTAATCATGTCTTGCAGCGTGGAGAGGGGCGCTGGAAGATCAAACCTTCTTTGATAATTTGTGGTAAAGCATCAATAAATGGCTGAATCTATCAGGATTAGAACGAGATATCGGTTCCATTAAGGTTACCTTCTTAGAATAATGGACCGATTATTCTGACATCGATTATTCCACACAATACAGTAACACTCGTGTGACAGTGCTTCTTGATGGCTCTAGCTTTCAGTTGGTTAGTAGTGGACCAATACCGAGCGTTTTGGCGGTTGAATACTCCCGCTGTATTGGAAATCGCTTCATCTGTCCATAAAAGTTTTGTAAATATGTTTTGTTTAAAATACCGTTCCATTATTTCGCCGCAAAATATCTCCCTTGCATCTTTATTTTCATAAGTTAGCAGCTGTCCGGATGAGAATTTAAATGCATTGTATTCATACTTTTGCAAAGTATTTTGAACGCTACTTCAACTTACGCCTGAAGCAAACCGTACAGCTGGCCTCTGTGAGAACTCTTCATTCTATTCGAAATGTAAGAAGACTTCTAACGCCTTCTCGATGTACAGAACATGATTTTACTTTTCTTTTTGAGCCTTTTTAACGCAGACATCTCGTAAGACCCTGATGATTATGCGGTTTAATACATCTCGAAATTTGTCTTTTGGGATATAGCTCCTGATACTCTCCAAGAGCTAAAGGGAAGTTTAGTTTTTTCGGATGTAACATTCATAATATAAATGTAAACGTTTCTCAGCCGTGTAAAATGCCATATCTTTTAACACTGATATGTACCAAACTGAGAACCGATAAACTCAACAATTGTCAAACCAGCAGTTTACACGACTATAGTTGTAGTCACCGTTCTTCGCGGGTCAAAGTAAGACTACCAGTATCGCTTTATATATATCCATATCCCTCATACATACACATGCAACCCCCTGTGTGTGAAGGTTTGTTCGGTAAGCTCAAAGACATACGTTTTTAGTTATATATATATATATATATATATATATATATATTTGTCAGAGTGACAACTTACTTGACAACGGCGTGCAATTTGAGTTGTCCTGTTACCTATCAATGTTCAATATAAAATTGTGCAATTCCCGGAAATACGATCAATGGAGGAAGTAGACAGCTCGTGCTAAATTTATTAGAGTATCTCATTATTTTCTCATCAGTTAGGAAAATTAAGATCCGCCCATGGTACGAAGACTCGATATGTTTACTTATTCCATATGGCGTTGATGACATCAAGAACGGTGACTACAACTATAACCTTTTAGATTTAACTTTGCGAAAACGGCTACAAGAACCTGATAAAAACAGAGGTTGATTTTTCTTTCTTATCCTAACCAGATATTAACACAAAGATTGTGACGCAATAGCAAGATTTTGCGGTAAAATAAGGGACTGGCATATTGCGGTAAGTATAAAAAAATGGATCAAAGAAGCAGTTTAAAAAATATGCTCATATTATTGTTCGTCTGTAGTCTAGTGTTATTATTTTTGTTATTGTTACTTCTAATTTATTGTTATTTTGTTGTTTTTGTTATTTTGTATTCTTAAATTATTATTATCGATTTTCCCATTTTTTTTATTGTAATATTGTTGTTTTTTTTTGGAATGTAATTGTTGTTTTATATGTTCCTTTTTTAGAATAATAACAACACAAAACCTAGAAGATGGACTACATAATGTAACAAATTAATCCATTAATGCGTCATAATCCATGTTCGTCTGTAGTCTAGTGTTATTATTTTTGTTATTGTTAGTTCTAATTTATTGTTATTTTGTTGTTTTTGTTATTTTGTATTCTTAAATTATTATTATCGAATTTCCCATTTTTTGGATTGTAATTGTTGTTTTTTTTTGGGATGTAATTGTTGGTTTATATGTTCCTTTTTTGGAATAATAACAACAAAAAACCTAGAAGATGGACTACATAATGTAACAAACTAATCCATTAATGAGTCATAATCCATGTGATCTGACTTCTAGTGGAATTTACAGCATAAGTTAAATTTTTTGAAGAGACATTAACTTTATGCAAATTTATGACCAATAACTATAACTTATTAAAAATACACATACTATTTTTCAGTATAAGACTTATTCCAACATAAATGGAATTTTAATCTCTAGAAAATGATGTAAAATATATCGTTTGTTCCATTTGAAATAATTATGTATTTTCACATTCCTTTGTCAAAATTTGAATGTATATTCGATGAGGTGAATTTTGGAGAACTTGAGTAGACCATTAATGGTTGATGTATTTCTTCTCATAGCAATTTTTTAAACTGAAGCAGCCGCGCAGACAGAAGCCTAAATGCCAAGGTACCGCGGCCGCTATGAGGATCCCAAAGAAACTTTGTTAATCCGTCGTTTGATCTGCATAAGGTCAGTAGAACTAGGAAAAGCCTGCCTTTGTAGATTGTTCCACAATCTCGAGATCCTAAAAAATGAAGTAGATACCACTTCGGGAAAGCTGGAACCCTGTATACACCAAGAAAGTGTTTTATATAACATTTTTCTGTGCACTGGGTGGTTTCTGAGAAACAGAGATGGGCGAAATTGTATTGGCCATCCAGGTATACACGCAAATTGTAAGTGCCAATAAAATTCTCAAGAGGGGCTAAGATAAAAGCTTCTTCATCAGTGATACAAGTATGGTTCTGAGCTGTAAAATTATATAGGATCGAAGCTACGATATTTTTAAAGCATCTTCCTTACAATAACCCAAGTTGGGTTACTATAAAGGCACGTTTTCAGACAATAAATGTCAGCATATGCCAAAAATTCGATGGGTGGAAACAGTCAGAAACTTGCAAGTCGGGTTGTGATATTTCAGTTTATATTGTTCCCGTCACTTTTGTAATATTGCAGATATCAAAGTAAATGTGCCAGGCGCATGCTACTCATGATATGCCAGACATTGGCCATACCCCCAAAATCTCTCTAGATACGCAGATTGCCCTTATCTCATTTTTTCATTCAACGCATTTCGGGTAGGAAGAAAAATAATAGTAACAGAATAATTGATCGAGTGCACATATTATTGGAAAAGGTGACAGTATATCAGAATCAAATCAGCATCGATTATCACATCAAGGAAATTATACACCTCCTTTTGTCTTTTGCCAGGAACATCTGGCCATTTCCAACGCAGTATTTTCGGGAGTATCCTTGTCCACAGCGCAAGCTTTTACAATTTCTGCTGCCTTATCTTCATCTTTTAACGCGGCTTCGTACACCACCTGGAACGATTTTTTTATGTAACTACTACTGTGGTCCACATCATGTCGTGAAATTTGTGACATTGACAATTGACATTTCCACTCTCGGCAGCGTTGCCGCTTATTGTTTGTGGGGTAATCCATTGTTAATTACACAGATTTGAGGACTAATAATTAAATGTGAACAGTAATAAGGCAATGAATGGTCATTCAATGGAAAAAACGCTAAAGGAATATTACATATGTTACCTACTATTCATCATTATCTTGTCTGTGAATAGAGTTTTGACGACAGAACATAAAAAACAAAAATGAATCAAGGTCAGCTTCAGTTTCAATCCGCTGGAGACAATTGACGATTGTGCCATCCTTGAGTGATATCAGTTGATATGTTGCGTTTTAAAATTATAACCATAACTTCCTCTATTCGGGAGTCTCGGAATGATCTGGCGATCTGTTGCCTTTGGTTTTTGTATCTTACTTTTTGATGCAATTGTGATATCATGTTTTGGTTTTCGTTTACCCTCATAAGGCCGATACGCTATATCCATACATCACCGCTAAGGAGCTAATATTCAAGACCCTCGGCCTACCCCGCTGAGCAACAAGTCAGCTCAGCATCGTCATGCTGATGCTTTCAGGAATTAGCAGTATCAGTAACTATTACAAGAACGTTTCCGAACGGTATAAATAGCTACCTATGACGTCATCCGTGGAAAATTACATTTCGACTTTCCTCTATTTTGTAAAAACACTGATTTTTTGCGATAATTACAGGACAGGATATTCTGACATATGATATACATGACAATGCCACATTTGGATCCACAACGTGATTTGACATCATGCGGACCAGCGCATACCATTGAATGACAAATGATGTAATCAGTACAGGAGCACTTTTACAAGTGGCAGAAATAGAAATCTACCTTTAAACAACCCATTTATACTGGTGTAATAGTGGACTCGTTTATCTACCAAGTTTCCAATGATATTTGAGCTTTTGTGATTCTATTGAATAAGTATTTACCTGTGCAACATCCGCCTGAATATATCCATCTTCGCTCATAGATCCGGATTTTTTGAAAATGCAGAGGAGATGTTTCTTCAGAGTTTCGTCGTCTGGAAATGTGCCTGTCATTATTCCAGATGCTAAAGCATCATTGATTCCTGTTAACTCTTTGCATTCATTGTGGAGCCTCATTATAAGCTTCATCTGAGCAGCTGACTGGAAAAAGGTAGGGTCAAGTTAGCTGATTGATTTAGGTGTGAATTAAAAACTGAGGGCCACAACCTAAAAGGATCATATGCAATAACATCACTAAATTAAAACATTGACAATGCGGCTTGGGCTGAACTCCAAACCATCTCCCCAACTTGTCTACTGTCTCTATTGCTCTTCATCGGGTCATAACTGGGATGACCTAATTATATAGCTCGCTGCCACAATAGACTTTTTGAATCGATCACCTCGCTTCAGTGGTAGTTCTCCTCGGTGACTTCGATGCCAAAAATAAACTCTGATTGGGCTCAAACAAGGCCGGTGCAACAGGGCGTGCCGCTAGCCAATGACTAATCCAGCTGGTGACAAGCCCAAACCTATACCCCCGAGTTTCGTCACACGCCAGCAGTCTGCTGGATCATTTTCTGACCACGCAACCCTTAGAGCACTGCTGTCCTGTCTTCCCTGAGTAACTCGATCCACGGTGTTGCAGGGGTCATGTTGGCTGGGAGACTCCTTCAGTAATTCTTAGAGAGATGCCTGTCTCACTGACTTGTACGCGTCAGTGGTCTGTTACTGAAGACAAAGTATCAAGGCACACATAACCCATATTCATATAAAAGCCCACTGTAAGGGATCTATATCTAGACAAACCTCCGTCGAAACTAAAAACAAATGTAATGAAGCGGTTCGCAATGCCAAAGACAAGCACGATGCAAAACTTAGGCACAGAGTAACGAGCTACTATAAGACCTTTTCTGCTAAATCCCCCATGGACGTTTCCCCCATCGCCTGAGTGCTGTCGATTCCAAGGGTTCCCTAGACTATGCCGGAAGTAACCTTCAGGCATATGATCGTGAGATGGGTGCCCTTGTCGCTCGATAATATGCTACATCACAATAGCACATAATTGCACACGTAACGTACCTTCTATTAGAGTACGTGGTCTTAGATACGTTTTTTTGCGAAAGGCTGTGCTCGGTAAATATTAATTTTGTGCCAATATAAGAGTACCGAAACTGAAGTACTTGGTTACTTATATGGATTTGTTGTTGAATTGTCCTTTTTTGTAGCACAAAATAATAACATTTTGGTCTTTTGAGAGTTAGCAACTAGATTATGATCAGATGAATATTGAATTATGAATGCAACGATTATGTATTGTCTGCGAAAGAATTTAAGGTGAATATCAATGATTTTACTCAAATCAAAAGCATATATCAGGAATAGCAACCGTCTTACCACAGAGCCTTGAGGCATGCCTGTTGGAATTTAAGTTACTCGAGAAATTTTTTGGTCGATGCAAAAATGATATAATATTATAAATTCCTATATAATTTAACCCAGAAAGTTATAAATCAGGGTTGATGATTAGAATATTATCTTGCAAACTACAGCGCAGAGATTTTTATTGGAAGCCAGATTGGGTATTAGGAATGATGAGTGAATAATTGTGATTTTAATATTTTCTTCACTATTTTAGGCAGATATAAGCTGATAGGTCTCAGGCCGCTAAATTCAGTAGGTTTAAGATGAGTTGTGTTTAAATATAGTGTCGTGATGTGTTGGTCTTTGCTCCTGGTGTTCCTTAACGTCCTTTAGATCGACTGTTATAGAGAATGGTTGGCTCAGAACAGCGCAGCGGTTAGATATTCAGGGCCTAAAACCCTAAAATGAGCTTTCTCATCATGTATTTTATATACTGACAATCAGTTCGTTATAGAAAATGTGTTGTCACGATACCGTAGTGGGTATCTGTTCTTGGCATTACTTGATATGCTCAACGACAACTGTCATTGAACTCTGAGATAGAGATAGTGTCGTCCTACAGTTGCCCTTAGATAGATAGATAGGTAGTTTATTGACCTATTAGATCATGTTACATGACATAAGACTTGTTAATATCAATTTGAGGGTCATATATGCGTTTGAGCAAATATATGCCGGAAAAATACTTATAATTATAAAATAAATAAGGACATTACAATTACAAAACATTTTAACACGTTAAATCACATTATAGGTACAGCGCAAGAATCGTAATGTGTTCAATCTGTAACGGAAAATATATACATATACAGCGACTATTTTAGCACAAAAAATGTTCGTCTAGCCGGTAAAAATCATTGAAGCTGATACAAAGAAAAGCGGTAGGAGAATCTGTTAGAAATACATAATATAAACACAATAAACATCGAGCAGTGAGGACAAATGGTTAAAAGCTTAAAAAGAAGTCATCCATACTTTCGTTAAAACTCGAATAAAAAGTGAAATTAAAATACATTTACTCCACGATAATAGACAATTCACTGATAACGAAATGATTAACAGCTTAAAATAATAAAAAAACAGATACTTTCATGTGTTAATAAAACTCATGTAGAGAGTAAAAGCATTTTTCAACCAGATATTTCCTGAGATGGTTTTTCAGCGCAAGGATATTAGTGCTTCTCCGCAACTCACTCGGCAGATTATTGTACACATTAGTGCACGCTAGAGTGGGAGATTTTTGGAATAGGGCAGAGTTATGTGTCGGTATACTCAGATCATGCCCTGTTCTAGTGTTGTATTGACTATTAATGGCGTTGTTACGAACAAATCTATTGCTATGTTCAAATGCGAAGAAGGCACATTTGTAGATAAAAATGGAAGTTAATGTAAGCAGATTATAGCGTCTAAATATTTCTCTAAAAGAGTCCCTCTTATTAATATTAAAAATTAATCGAAGTACTCTTTTCTGCAGGATGAATAATCTGTTAATCATTGTTGCCTGTCCCCATATAATTATATTGTTAGTGAGGTGAGAATAAACTAGCGCGTAATACATATCTAAGAGTGAGTTTAGATGGATGTTAGGCTTTAATTTGAATATTGCAAAATAAGCACTGTTAATTTTGTTGCAAATGTGATTTATTTGTGGTTGCCAGCTTAACTTACTATCGACAGAAGACAGTTTAATCTGAAAAGCTATCAATATCCATGCGTGGTTTCTTGTTGAAGAAATGAATTTCAACAGTCTTCAAAATGAGGCGGTTAGACTGGCACCACTCGCTCATTTCACTTTTGACTTTCTCAATAGATTCGAGAAGATCCTGCGGTGTCGTGGCACTGACGACGATAGATGTGTCATCCACATAATTAATCCTGAAGCCAATTTCAACTCATTTATGTATACAATGAAGAGCAGTGGTGCAAGTACTGAGCCTTGTGCCGCACCTATATTCCCGGAATTTTGAGTTGACGTATGACCATTGACCTTCGTTTTCAATTTTCTATCTGTGAGGAAAGACTGGATCCAGCTGAGAATAAAATCCCTTATACCTAAGCAGTACAATTTTTCCACGATAAACGAAATATCCATTATATCGAATGCTTTCGAAAGGTCAAAAAATAGTCCAGCAACTTATCTGTTTTCATCTACATCTCTATATACAGGGTGTTCCATAATTATTGCGACAAAATGATAGGGGTTGTAGAGGGCATAAAAATATGCAATTTTGCCTTATAAACCCCTGTTCGTAAATATGCCGTTTGAGCACTACCGCTAATTTTACCTTAAGAGAAACAAAAAATTCAACAGCTGCAAAATGTTCGTCTAGCACATTTCATGGTCTCGCCGATTTGTAAAAAAAAGCCTGCTGTGTTTACATTTTTGTTATCGTAAATTCTCCACACCGATTCATTTAATTTATCTGAGTGGTGCGTCAAACTAGAGGCCAATCCGCGTACAAGCGTGCGTGCTATTGCACATGAAATGGGAGCGTCTCAAACTACTGCTTGGCGGGTTCTCCATGACCAGCAACTACACTCATACCACCTTTTAAAAGTCCAAGCCATGGGTCCAGAAAACTATCTGCCGCGTCGATGTTTTTGTCGTTGGTGGCTGCAGCAGGAGTTGAGGCAACCAAACTTTGGTCGCTACGTTTTGTTCACTGACGAGTCCTGTTTCACAAAGGAAGGTTATTTTAATAGCCGTAACAGTCACATTTGGGATGAAGAAAACCCTCATGCCATAGCCATCCATAGAGACCAACATAGTTTTCAATTAACATCTGGTGCGGCATTGTGGACGAGCATATCATCGGGCCATATTTGCTTCCACCACGTTTGGATGGGCATGCTTATGGTCGATTCTTACAGCATGTGCTACCGGAACTATTAGAAAATGTGCCACTGAACATAAGAGCCAACACGTGGTTTCAACACGATGGCGCTCCAGCCCACTTTTCTTTACAAGTGCGGCAGTATTTGGACGACAAATAGGTGGATCGGCCGAGGTGGCCCTGTGCCTTGGCCTGCGCGGTCACCCGACCTGTCCCCACTGGATTATTTTCTCTGGGGCCATCTGAAAGCTTTAGTGTACGAAACTACTGTTCCCAACCAACAAGAGCTACTGGGAAGAGTGATGGCCGCGTCCGCACATGTTCAGGACAAACCGGGGGTATGCCACAGAGTTCGCGGATCATTGAACAATCGTGCACAGCTGTGTATTGAGCAAGGTGGAGGACACTTTGAGCAATTACTGTAGGTAAGCTGTTTCAAGAAACTGATCTTTTTTTTTTGCTGCATCCCAAACGGCATATTTCCGAACAGGGGTTTATAAGGCAAAATTGTTCATTTTGATGCCCTCTACAACCCCTATCATTTTGTCGCAATAATTATGGAACACCCTGTATATGGGAAAAAAGTCAAAGGTCGCCGTTTCTATAGATCGTGAGGGTCTAAACCCATGCTGGGTATCTGATAAGACATTATAGCGATTGAGAAAACATAATATACGTTTATACAGACATTTTTCAATGACTTTAGAGATCATCGATAAAAGTGATATTGGTCTGTAGTCTTCTAGGTCTGTACGGTCACCCTTTTTGTATACGGGAATAACAATAGCTAGTTTCAAACATTTCGGGAATTTATCTTGATTCACTGATTCATTAATAAGGACTGATAGGGGGGAAGATATTTCACGTTTCACTAACTTTATCACATGCGTTGAAATTCCATCATTTCCACTGCTTCTTTTATTTGGAAGGCTGCTGATTACTTCCACGATCTCTTCAGTGGTGACATCCTCGTAGAACAATGATGATGCTACCCGATTTTGTGATGGACATCTTGATGGGTTGTCACATTTAAAGTGTTCTGCTAACTTGCTCTCTGCTATTGTGGAAAAATACTTGCCAAACTTGTCGGGTACGAGGGTGTCAGTAAGTTCTTTGTCTTCATTTTCAGCACTATTTGATGATGTTTCTTCACTCTTCCGGTTTCTTCATTGACTATTTCATGTTATTAGACTACTGTAATACTCTTTTTTTGTTGAAAAAATTAATTTATTGTGTTGTCAATGTACTGCTGTCTCATACTTACATTGTCTTCATGCCTTTTCACCAAATTGTGTAGTTTTCTTAGATCTTGGCTGGACTGTTGGATTTTTGGCATCACCCACGGTTTGCTCTTGACATTCTTTAATGTGCTTGAAGAGGTCGACTCTCATGGAGAATAGTTGGTTCGTAATAGTTGTCAGAGTATAGAGTCTCAAGACATCGTCTGAGCTTCTTGTGAACGGTTGATTTCAGATTCGCAGTCCAGTATAGATGAGTTATGCTTACAGACTACCAGGGTGTGCCCTTGCTAGTCCTTGCTCCTGACATTCATGGTTGTCCTACAGGTAAATTGTCATAGAGGATAGTTGATTCATTGTAATGTTCCAACCCTGAAGGGGCCGAAACTCATGGATTATAGATTCGCAATTCTTATAGATGAACTGTGGCTAAGAAGAGGGTGGCCAGCTATCGCGGTGGTTGGTATTTGTCCTTGGCATTCCGGCGTGTCACGAATTGGGATAGTTTCATAGTAGTAGTAGTAGTAGTATTGAAGCTATACAATTTGCTTGAGATTGGATCTAGCGCACGTTTCTAACTTCGATAGTATTATCGTATCTATGCAGCTTCAGTGGAACGGTGGTAATACAGGGTGGCCGATATGTAACTGACTGATTTGTATTTTGAATACTTGTAAAATGAAATAAAATGCGTCCATTTTTTTCATCGTTTATTGAAATTATGTATGAAAAATAGTATCAGCCAAACGTCCGCCTCTAGAACCCGCGCATACCTGAGTCATCTGGATTACATTTTCCATCGCTTTTTGGTAGGTTTCGGGAGGAATATTTTCAATCAGTTCCGTAAGATTGTTCTTCAGCTGCTCTACAGTATTTAGTTTGTTGGCATAAACCCTATTTTTCAAAAATCCGCAAAAAAAGTTAGCAGCCCTGGTGGCCAAATGACATCACCCAATCGGGAAATTGAACATAACGGAAATATTGTTCGCAAAAGATTTATTGTTTCCTTAGCTGTGTGACTAGTTGCTCCGTCCTGCTGGCACCAGACGTTTTAAGGGTTAAATTGTTGAATTTGAGGAGCCAGAAATGTTTGCACCATATCACGGTAGCGCTCGCCAGTGACAGTAAGAGAATTACCTGCAGCGTCTTCAATAAAGTTAAGGTCCAATGACACCTCGTCACCTCCATACCAAACACCGCACCAAACTGTGACTCCACGAGGATGTAGTGGTCGTTAATGGATGACACCAGGGTTCTGTGATACCCAGATTCGGCAATTCTCCTTATTAACAAATTCATTCATATCGAAGTGGGCTTCATCGCTCATTATCAGTTGTCGATAAAAATCGTAATTTTGGGTATTGAGCTGTTAATATTGCATGACTGTATTGTCGGTGACTTTCACGGTCTCTTGGCTGTAGTTCTTAGGCTAACTAAATTTTATATTGCCGCAAATACAAGTCTTTTTTTCGAATAGTGGATAACGACGTGCTACGAATACCCAGTTCTTGAGAACGATGTCTGGTAGACGTCTCAGGGCGGTCCACTGCACTTCCACGAACCCTCTCGATATTTAGCGGAGTACGAACAGTTCGAACATGGCCTGACCTCAGCAAGTCTTTGACTTAACCTGTTGGTCCAAACTTCCGCACCAACTGACGAATGGTGTTGACACTGGGAACATCATTTCGACCGAAATCTTATCGTAGCTTCCGAATCGTTGCAACAATCGACTCATTATTTAACTAAAACGTTCTAACAATACAGACGCGCTGTGGGATCGTGATGAATTGGACGCAACTACTATGGCGCCACCTACTGCAATGCGTGTATCGAAAATGGCGCGCAATTAAATCAGTCAGTCAGTGGCCACAGTTTTCCTCATAAAAATTCATTAAATACCGACACGATATGATATCGATGTGTACGTGTTTTCTTTCATATTTTTCGTCCCTGTTGGTTCGTAGGGTTGCGTGAGTAATCATACTATTGTTTCCTATTATTGAATATATTTGCTTTAATCCTGGTAAAAGAATTTATCAGAACAAATTATAAAACCACAAATGCGAATATAGGGGTTGTTTCAAGAAATAGTAGGCGATATTTCTAGGTCACAAAGTGTACACAGAAATAGAGTTCTTTATAGGAACCATTGATCCAGGGCACAGAGGCGTAAAGTTATAATCTAGCCGGGCAAAGATCTGTTCCACAAAGTGCATCTAAGGTGGGAAAACCCGTTCCATAATGGGGGATTTATTTTTATTCTCCAACCACCTCGAAGGCCTAAGGCTTAAGCACCCATTGGGCACCGTGGGGCTATAGTTGGATACATGGGAAAGGGGGAACGCCACGCGGACTCTGGCGAGGGAACACATGTGCATGCAACATGCACACATTCTGGCTCCGCCTACGAGATCCGCCTGGTGGTACCTCCGCGTTCGACAGTCAGAGACCGTCTACCACCTACGGACAATCACAACATCCATAGCCAAGAGAAAAATTTCTCCTGGGACGGGACTCGAACCCCCACAGCGCACGGCGACTGATCAGGAATCCGAAGAGTCTACTACTGCGGCCACCGCTGCTGCCTGTTTTAAGTAACGGGCATAAATCGTTTTCCTGAATGATCGGATTAGAGGAAAAACCAGTTTGAACTTGTCTGTTGTACTTCGTTCATTTTGAAATATAATAACATTTTTACCTTTTTGTAAATATTCCTGTATGTACCATATTTTCTCACCTGTTAGTTTCAATATACTTCACAGACCAGTGATTTTTTCTTATCGCTCTCTTTTTTGAAATTCAGCAAATCTGCGTACGTAATTTCCAGGTTGAATAAGAAAAAGCGGATGCGTAACTAATTTTTAGCTTTGCATACATCTCAAGTAAGTGTATTTGAGACAAGGAACCAATGGAAATATCATCAACACAGATCTTCACTATGCACTGCCGTTTCCTTCCAGCTATAGTAAAGGTACAACTTACAGCTTAGATCTCCAATAATGCCATCTGTGAAGCAGACATCAAAGCCAAGCATAGACAGCTGAAGCATCATGACGTTTAGACAACACGTACAGCTATAGAACGAGTACACAAGTGAACAATAGCTAGTGCTAAGCTGACAGCTTGTAGAAAAATCTACATAAGGTCACAAAAAAACAAAATATTATTTTTCAAGGTACATATGTTAATACCCCTGCCGATAACTTTTTTGACATGATTGGTTCTTCAAATTATGTAGTAAATAAAATTTAAATCAATAGCTACCAAAAACTGCCACTATGGAAAATATTTTTTTTCTCCTGCAAATCTAAATAAAGAAGCATTAGATTTAATAAGAAATTTTAGAACAGGATTACATAAATATTAAGCTATTATCATTACTCAAGGGCAAATCTCATTTTAGGGCCGTCTGGAACGAGAATTCTCATAAGTCGAGACCTTTTTGACCTTATGGATAGCCAGCAGTTGCTGAGATTTGACAAGAAATTAGAATTTTTAAAAATTATCTGGTAAATCAAGACACTTATTCTGAAGTACAACAGAAAGATATAAAACATGAATTTTCATGGTTTAAGTAAGAATTTCTGCGACAATGGCAACGGCTCGGCATAAGTATTTCAAATTTTCAACGGAATCCTGTAACATATTGAATAGAACCCAGGCAAAGAATTTTCATAATTACTACCATATTTTAAAGAGCAGAGGTCCTACATTTCGTAGAAAATATTTTTTTTCGAAATCGATAGCCTAGAGTTAATAGAAAATTGTGATAGAATATTCTTGGCCCTTTGTGCAGTGGTGTGAAAACCGAGATATTTTGGGACATATTTTCTACATCACTTGTAAACATAAATAATTTCAAAATTTAATGAGAAACATGTGTGGAAGTTCAGTCTATATTAGTTCTGCTATTATAACAAAAACTTACTTGTGCTGATGCTAAGCCAAGTATGGCACCCAAGACCACCAAAAATTTCATTGTTCGGTAATTTCGCTAAAAAAAAGACTATCCATCAAAGCTTGGTTGCATTTTTATATAGCTGAAGCATCAGTGAATGAATACATTTCGCTAATATGAAAATAATACCAGGCTTTTTAGATGGCTCTGTGTTATTTTTAAATATAGATTTAGCATTGGGGAAGCGAATGCTTCAAACAATTGCTGTTATCAACAACATCCAAACTGTTCATTAAATACTAATCAAATTACTTATTATTTGAATTTATTACCGTTGTTTAATTTCAGATATATGTAACTGCAATGCTTTATTAGGTTATATTTTTTATAGTCACACAAATTTTCGAACTATGCTGCAGTTTCCTCTCGTCTTTATCACATTTGTACAGGATTCATCACTATCGTCTTGTTGCATTGCTTTTTGATTTTTAGAATAGCAATCGAATGCAAGAATTTCTATATTTTTGTCTGAATCTCATAATTTGCTATGCTCTCTCTCTCTTTCGTTTTCTGTGCTAACGATTGATGGTATGAATAAAATTAGGTAAATCTTCAAAACTGGTACGATGACCCGCGCGGGTATCATGTGTGTATCCGGTATCATCTATATATACTAAGTGACATATAAATCCGAACACCCAGTTTAAATGGTTTTATTTTAATAAAATTTTGTATAAGTACTTAATGAAGCATAATAAGTAAATGATAAAAATTTCAAAATGATTGCACTGCTTTAAAGCCCTTTGACCTTTAATAATGTGTGGATGCACCCTGATGTGCTACGCATTCTCCAACGCGCCTAGGCATGCTTCTGATCAGGTGGTCAATGTCCTCCTGTGGTATCTCATTCCAGGCAACCACCAACTCCTCTCGAAGTGCTTCTAGAGTCTGAGGAGGACGTTGCAAATTGAGCAATCTCCTACCCATCATATCCCACACGTGCTCAATTGGGGATAAGTCGGGAGATCTTGGTGGTCATGGTAACAATGTGACATCATTATGTTGAAAGAAGTCTATTGTGACTCTTGCAATATGTGGTCGTGCATTATCTTGTTGGAAAGTTGGATCTGCCAGGGTGTCAAGATAGGGCAAAAGATGGGGTTCTAGAACTTCGTGGATATAACGCTGCGCGTTCATGTTACCCCTGATGAAGATTAAAGGTGACCTGGAACCATAAGCTATAGCACTCCAAACCATAACTCCAACAGTGTGATGAACATGTCTTTCAACAAAAAACTGTGGATTCCTCCTTTCACCACGTCGCCTTCTAACCCTGGCACGACCATCGTGCATGCCTAAACAAAATCGAGACTCGACACTAAAGACAATACTGTTCGATTCCTGATCCCAGAGTGACCGTTGTCTACACTACTGAAGGCGATTACGTCGGTGTTCTCGAGTTAAAGGGAGGACCCAGTGTGGCCGGTATGAAAACAAGCCAAAACTTCTCATTCGTCGGTAAACACTTCGCATGCCAGTAGGTCTTCCGTGTTCTGCAAACCATTCATTTGCAATGGACCTGGTAGTGGAGAAACGGTCCCTTAAGGCCAATAATCTTAGGCGGCGATCTTCACGGTCTGTTGTTCTACGGCGGCGTCCAGTGCCCCTTGCTCTTTGCGTACGGCCTTCTTGAAGCCATGCCTGACAACACCTAACCACAGTGTCTACACTTCTTTGCACTCTAACTGCAATTGCCCGAAAAGAAAGTCCAGCTTCCCGAAGTCCCACTATACGGCCCCTGTCAAACTCACTAAGTTGACGAAATCGTACAGGTCTCCGTGCTCTAGGCATCGTAACCGATCGTAAAGGATGTCAAGAACCAAAATCCGCCAACGTTGATTCTTTACTGCGGCTGAAATATTCATTTTTAGAGCGTTAGTGAATTAAAAAAAAACAGTATAAAATCCGGAATGTCCAACTGATAAGGCTGAACATTTTTTCACTTGTTATTTACAGTAAGATAAATACATTCACCAACTTTTATTGAAATAAAACCATTTAAACTGGGTGTTCGGATTTATATGTCACTTAGTATATATATATATACAATCTATCATATGCTTGTACAGTTTTGGGGGAAGCATGTCATCAATTAGCGCATTAAAATGCCTGTTTTGTCCACCGACCCTTCAGATGTGTTCAGGGTGAAAATATACGAGGTAGAAACATAGTAGGATCCCAAGCATACACCACTTTTTTTATTTTGTAGGCTTTTGTAATTGGTTGCACGGACAGCTGAACAGTAAAATAACCTGATGGATTTTACAACGTATAATTCAAATTTCTCATCAATAAGGAGCAACATCTGGAATCATAGTAAAAATGTGTTTCATTGACTGCTATAACTACAGATCCATTTCCTGAAGCCATTACGTATTCTAGACGCAACAGCACCATGTCCTTGATAAATGACTCGTGTTTGTGAAAACGAATATTGGAGTTAGGGATATCCTCCGAGTTCTTGGAATGCGAGGGCCTTTTTTACGACTTTTTATATACGTAAACTGCACGAAAAGTTCTCGTTCCTATCAGTGGTAGAACGAATTTCCAATTTGTTTGCGAACTCCTTAGGCATTCTTAACAGATAGCTCTTCAATTCCGGATAGTGGTAGGGACCGCTCCAATTTCAGAGCTACACAAGAAACTTCACTGTAGTCGTCTGCAGATTATGGGTCGATGTTTCTAAACCGAATCCAATTTCAACCTCAATTTGACCTTCTGTACTTACTTTTTTTGTGGTGTGATAATTCAAACCGTTTCGAAAACATTGGACAAACATTCAAGAAGTGGTTCTTATGACTACTAGGTAAACTGAAAAAAATGGTTTTCAGGAGAGCCTTAAATTTGGCTTTAAATCGAATATGAGCGTGAGTTACCAAAATTTCACTGATGGACACTGTTTCGTTCTTTTTTTCTACTCTTCAGCATGGTCTAGGCTTGAATCTCTCGGACAACGAACCCATTGCAACTTTACACTATACAAAGTGTGTGATCTATTGAAATAAGGCAGCGCGAAGCGCAACCGACCACTAGAATATAAATGATTTTTAGCTCTTGTATAGTGTCAGTTGTTTCTGGAAAGACATGAATAATTAAGAACATAACAATGATAATAATAAGGTCATCAAATTTGATCCAGAAGAAAGAACCTCAAAATTGGTACCAGAAATCTTCCAACAAACGTTTGAAGTCGACAAAAAGCATTATTTAAATATACCTAAATCAATGATTTGCATAAAAAATGCCTTTATATATTTCATTTGCCAAAAATAAACTTGATTGCACCTTAACATTTAACGACGAACCCGGCCTTACAGACCCTAAATCCACACTATTCCTCGCGTAATTTCTTTTTGAAGGAGCACAGCTTAAGCGAATTTGAATGGGAATGGTAAACGTTAGTCTACTTCGTTCTGCAGCGAAGTTTTTAGCCCATAAAAAATGACGTGATAAATCGTCCTAAGATTTGAAACTCTCCTAGAGCATAAAAAATACCCTAATTTTTCTGGTAAGGCGTACGCAGTGAAAAACCTGTTTTTTTTAGTCTGTATGCAACTTAAATCGTCTTGAGAAAGGCACGTACTAAATCTTGATTCCTCAAATTGCGTATTCTCTTACTACATGAACGTTTCATAATAACATTTTTTCTGTCTTCTCTTTAATGATATCAAGGATCGGTACTTTTTAATACCTGTAATACACTCTACATTCCGCTAGTTTCTATCCGCAGAAGCATTACGTATCTTGAAAAGTGACATTATGTAGGATTTTTTGACATTATGTAGGTTTTCCTACAAGACGTCAACTTAGCACTAGCTCTTGTAGACTTGTTGTGTATTGGTTTCGTAGCTGTACTTGTTGCCTATAAGTCATGGTACTTCACCTATCAATGTTTGGTTCTGATGTGATGTATCATCTGCTTCAAAGATGGCATTATTGAAACCCTAAGATATAAGTTGTGTACTATAGCTATAAAGAAACATCAGTGCATAGGTGCATAGAGAGGATTTGTGTACTAATAATCTATATTGATGATAATTCCATTGGTTTCTTGTCTCATTTGAGACGTATGCAAAGCTAAAAATTAGTTGCGCATCTGCTTTTTCTTAATCAACCTGGATATTACATATACAAATTTGCTGAATTTCAAAAAAGGGAGCGATAAGGAAAACATCCCTGGCTGGTTAAGAATATTAAAACTAACAGGTCAGGGAAATATGGTACATACAGGAATATTTATGAAACGTAAAAATGTTATTACATTTCACATTAATTTTTATTTCCAGTCATTTGAATTTTATAGAAACTTATTTCAGGATGTCGTATAAAATACAAATCAGCGCTTAGATGTGAGACAGAGCGAAAATGTTTTGTATGTGATGCGTCACTCCTATTTTTTCTGTTATGTGATCTAATTACAGTTAACGCGCGTGTGGTGCTGATTTCCCATAATGCTTCTCAAGTTTTTTAAACGCAAGACAAACGGGGAAAACCATAATAACTATGAACATAACATCTCTTCAGAAAGGACAACCCAAATAACCCGTCTGGCACAGCTATGAGATATATTTCATGGGCAGCATATGCAGTAATAATTTGCTCACATAGCAAATATCACTGATTGTATATGCATTCAGACCAATACACACAGTCATCCAGATGTGATCTTGCTACTCTGCTTCTCAACCACACATCTCAGAGTATACTCAAGAGACTGTCTCGGCATTCTGCATTCAACAAAGCATGATCGTTGAGTAATTTATCCAGTTGACATTTTGTCGTTTTTTGACATTTTTTTAGGTTTTTAACGTAATAGCCCTGCCCGATACGTCTGTCTGGTATCTACAGACGAAAATCGTGCCGGGATGTTATCAGGCTGCTAAGTATAAAATGAGAAACCCTGGTTCAAAGGTTCAAAAGCTATGTTTACGAATTTGTCATATAAAACAATGTCTTGCTGGGCTCCCATATAGGCCCCTAAAGGATGCTACTGCAAATCAGTTTTTCTTAAATATTCCTTGAATGACATTGTATATTTGAACGAAATTTTGACATTGTAATACCTAGTTGGGAATTGACTTGATACATATAAGTCCGAGTTCTATATTGCTAAGTTCATCCTGTATTGTAATAGATGAAAGCTAGAAAAAAAAAGAACCATTTTGATACTGGATTCAGTAAAGTCGTTCTGCTGTTTTGAAAATATAACAATTTCGCAATTAGCGACGCGAAAAACTACATGGTAAACGTTTTCATCTCACTTAAGTTTCAGATTCTCAACTGACAGGTTTTATAAATAACGCCCTTTTTTTTCAAAATCAAACAAGTATCCATTTAGTAATATAGCTTTTGTTCATCCGACCACTGATGGCTAACCATGGACAGCTATTTCGCGCTATTTGGCAACTCTTCAGCATGGCGTAGGCTTAGTTCCGGTGGACATCGGACAAAGTTTGAACAAGTCTCTATTCAGAGCATAAGATCTATCGAAATAAGTCATCAAAAGGTGCCATGTATTACCAGAGTCGACCACTGTGAAAGTGAGCACAGTAGGAACTGAAAGTCAATTCGCATTGCCAGCCAGGTCACCATGCTGAAGAGTCGCCAAATAGCACGGAACAGCTGTCCATGGTTGGCTCTCCGTGGTCGCAGGAACGAAAACTATCTTACGAGTTTGTTCAATGGCAAGTAGACCGTATCTACTATAGTTTGCTGTTTCTACTTTCACAGTGATCGATTCTGGTCATAGATGGCATTTGATGCTGTCTTGTTCCGAAAGGATACGTTTCTTTCAGCGTTCCAAAAATATTATTCTAGAACTAGTATTTCGCAGCAATATTGTGTTAGGCCTAGTCCGGCCCTGTCGTGGATATCATTATATGACGCGACAACTGGTTACTACACTGTCAAAATTTCGATGAATCATATAGTGTACCCCGTAGGACATTTTTAGTGGCATTATTATTCTGTGTCGATATTTATCTCGAAATTTCCAGAAAATATAGAGTTTCTGCATTTGTCTTTCAAGTTTGAAAAATGTTAGTTCCTACCACCACTTGCCAATTATACCTTTCCTCTCCATATTTCCCTATCCCCACTTCTTTAACTTCATATGAATAAAAAAATCCACTAGATATTCATTTAGAGAGAAGATCCCTAAGTAATATTGGTTATGTCGAAGATTCTTGCGTTTTACACCTTTTCAGACCATCCAGATTGACCTTGGCAGGTGTCTAGTCAGGAGATAATGTGAACAGGAGATTCTAGAGTTTTTTCAGCTTACTGGGAAGAGTTATGAGTAATTAAGGCAATGATACAAAATCGAGTATATTACATAAATATAATAAATAAAGTCTTAAAACACACAAAAAAAAAATGAATTGATTAATGCGCAAACTAAATAGTAGGGTTTTTTAGATATCGGTAAATAGGAAATGAAGTATGAGGCTAAAACTAGTATTCCCGTGAATCCATGATAACAGACTCAGCCTTCCGAATGTTTAAATGTAACACTGTCATTATGCAGTTGTCTCTGAAAGTTATACATAACTACCTCACGAGCTTGTAACATTGATCCAACCACTAAAGCAAACTCACACATAAATGGAACTAGCTTTTAGTAGTCAACAACTCCTTGGAGGATTCTACGTCCTTTGTTTCCGAATTCAGTTTTTGATGAAAGTTTGTTCTATTTGTCGTGTCTTCTCAACATCGTCAGCTCTTTGAAGTTCGAAGCTAAAAGTTTGTAGGGAGTTCTCTAAAAGACAAGAATAAGGCTGAAGGATGATAGAGCTAAATTCATTGGTGATGGAAACAAGAGAGCGGATGATGCCGGGGGCGCCGGCGCATCATGATTATCTACTGTGGAGTTCCTCGCCTCCCGCACGGGTATTACGTATCTTGAAAAGTGACGTTATATCGATTTTTTGACATTATACAGTTTTTTTGACATTATGGATCTTTTCTACAAGATGTTAACTTAGCACTTGATTGTACGTGTTGCCTAAACGTCATGAGGCTTCAGTTATCAATGTTTGGCTCTGATGTGATGTAAAATCTGCTTCAGAGATGGCATTACTGGAGATCTAAGCTGTAAGTTGTACTATATGTCTTGTTGATAATTTCATTGGATTCTTGTCTCAAATACACTTACTTGAGATTCAAAGCTAGAAGTTAGTTGCGCATCCACTTTTTCTTATCCATTCTGGAAATTACAAATGCAACTTTGCTGGATTTCAAAAATGAGAGAGACAAGAAATAATTATATTCACCGTACACTGTCGAATTACAAGCGATATGACATACTATCAGCAATTACACACAACCCGGGCGCGGTGGTGATTTCCCGTAATTCTCCTCAGTTTTTCCTAATTTATAACTCTGAACATAACCTCTTTTCAGAAAGCACAACACAAATAACTCATCGAGCACAGCTAATAAATATTCTTCATTGGCAGCATATTCAGTAATGATTTTCTCACACAGCAAATATCATTGATTTTATACACTTGCAGACCAATACACATAATCATCCGGATGCGATCTTGCTATTCAACCAACTTTCTTCCCAGAGATGAAAACTACAGACCACCTGGCTTCACAAAACATAGGCAACCAACAATACATGTAGTTTAGTTGAGTCATTCCTCCATAGATTGACGCTCACGGCGATCCTATTGAGCAAACGTGTAATGACTGTTTACAACCTAAAAACTACCTAGTCTGCAAGATGACATTTTATAGGTTTGTTTGAAGTTTTATAGGTTTTTTACATAATATCCGTGCCGCAGCCTGACGCACAGTGCGCCATCTTAGGCCGGCATCTGCTTGTTAGGACAGTAACCTATTTGAAAAGTTGTTTCTCGGACTTCCATTGTCTACGATTGAAGATCATATCAATCGCAACGTCGTGAATCAAACAACCTTATAGAAAATGGATGTCTGGGTATTGAAACAACATCTCAATCATCCACATTATCAACAAATTTCAAACAACTAGTCTCTTTGAACGGTCAGTTAGTTCGTGTAATCTGCAAAATCTAGACAACCACCAAACACTATCGGTAAAATGGACAGTTAGCCGATAGAAACAAAAAAAGCAATATAATGGAAAGGAATATAATCGACTGGAGAGCAAAAGATCCTGAGAGTATTCAATAGAAGAACCTTATACAAGCTCATTTACCACTGTTTAGCCTGTAGTGGTCATGCTTCACGATCACATTCAACAGCCGTTTTAATTATTCGATACCCTACGTTTGGATACGAAAGTATCCTTAATTACATGGATAAATATTGCTAAGCCAATAAATCCTATTTAATCGTAATAGCATAGTTTAGCAGATTAACGTAATAAAACTACAATTATAATTATGAATATCATATCCAAAATGGACATAATGGTAATATTTGAATATAAGTTAAAATGTCGCTTAAATTTTCTTCGCCTGGAATCTAAGTAACAATTAAAGCGGTTGTTTTAAAAACCGCTCTTCATATTCTTTCCCAACATGCTTGTCTGCTGAAAACACTTCCTTTAAATATGTAGATCCGTATCATAGATATAAAGCTTTATATTCCTTCCTCTTCAAATGATACTTAAATACTATACTAAGCTCAAAAAAGTCCTTTTGTAAACGGCACTTTTGATTCCTTAACAACTCAGATATGTGACTTGTGAGGTTTTTGACATAACTGATTCAATTGAGACATACGCAATTAGGAATTAATAAAATTTGTCTCAGGCACAAATAACGATTACAGAAGGGCTTTTTTAGGCTTAATATAAGATCTGACTTTTTAATATAATAATGCAAAAACCTGAAAACTGTTTTTGACTTCTGTGTTTTTTCAGCTAGTCATATGACTAGTGGTATATTATTTAAACAAAACATTTATATTTGTATTAATCAGTGCGAAAGTCACTAACTTATGTTGTTTGTGCAATGAGCGTCTCTTACGTATCATCGTTTGAAGAGTAAAGGATGTATTGACATAGTGGTTTATACCAAGAATACCCTTGAAGAAAGCGTTTTTATAAAGAATAAGCATGCTGGCAAAATGTGACACAAGATGTTATAAAATCCTGTCTATTGATGTATCGATCGTATCACAATGATTAGTGTGGTAATTCAATTAATGTACCTAGATAGGTAATCATATATATGAAGAGCAAGATCCATAGATAATTCTTGAGAGTGAGCCTAAAATGGCGGTAATATACATAGGGTACGTTCAAAAATAAAGCGGAAAGTTCATATGAACCATAAGATGTCTCTTGACGAGGGAGAGCGCGTTGAAATCAAAATAAAAAAAATACATTTGCGGAACGGTTGAAGATATATTCTGAAAATTGCTGTAGGTCATATTAACACTTTAAGCAATACATACAACAAACTACCTAAATCAAACGAGGGTCGTAAAAAGTAGGAAAAAAGTATTTAATATCATATAAGTTTTGTCTTTTGAGAAAATGTGGTCGGATCAAAATTTGATTTTAATATTTTAGGTACATTCCTAAAAAAGCTTAAGGAAACAGTGCTATACCTGACACACGTTCTTTCAAGAATGCTCTGCCCTCAATCAGTCATGTAAGTGGCGTGAAAATAAACTTTGGCGAAGAGACAGTTTAGGAAATATGCTTATATGAACTTTATTTTTTTATTTTTGACGTTTTTGTTCCATTTGCATTAACAAACACAGCAGTACCTAAGAAAATCTAAAATGTAAAACATTTTTCGGTTGCGATGAGAAGCTGACAGTTTATTCATTTTTAATTAATTTTATTAATAGAAGTTATGTAATAACACGATAAACTGAATAACAAATTTAGTATCTCACGGTCATTGCCTTTCCTTAATAAATTTACAGTTGGCTGATTTTACATGACTTCATTTTAGTGTCACAAAAATTGTTACGTAGGTTTTTGAAAAAGCTTCCAAACAATCGGGCAATTGGCAATAAAATTTGCAACTATAGTCCAGTCATTGTAACATATCTTGCAGCATATATATTTCTCGTCATTATTGCCCGCAATATGTAGACACGTACACTTAAATAATCGGACAAGAATGGTTGAAGAAATTGTACGCATAGCGGCAGATTAGATTACACTACATTCACGGCAATATGTGAAAATATATCGGAAACGTTAAACGTGTACACGGGTCATGCTGATTTTATGTTGCATTGGCTAGGTGCTGTTGCTAGCGATGTTGCTGGCTATATATCGCTCCTGTAGGGCCATATCGCCAGACGTTCCTACAATTGTAGAACGCCTTTATGGCTTTGATTTTCAGTATTTTCTCTCATTCAGTATAGCTGGGGTATTTCTAGATTTCTACTGTTCCTTGTCAGCGTCAGCACTCTCCTAATTGTGTAGCTTTTTTTTTGAATTGCAGGAAATTTCATGCTGATAAAATGAAATATATAAATCAAAAGTATGAACAATTTGATGGAAATAGATATTTGTGATATAACCTCAAAATAGAGCGCTGACACGGAACAGAGTAGAAAACTATCAAAATAAAGGAGGCCATAGAGGCGTCCTACAATTGAACACAAGTGGATAAAGGTTTTTTTTAAAACTTGCTTTTTTGCATTAATCTAACCCTAAGGAGTGATTCTTTCATTTTGTGATTACAAGATAATAACAAACTAATTAAACTGAATATTTAAAATGTCGATAAAGTAAAAAGTCCCAATAAAACATGTTTAAAGTCAATTTTCTCCATACAATTCTGTAAGTTGATCAAGTTCTTTTAGAATGGAGCAAGCTTCTGTAGCCTCTCTCCAGTGGAAAAGTTCGATAGAGCTGCCTAACGGCCTTTTCTATCAGAAGTGCAAAATAAGTTGATCAAGTTTATAAAGAGAGAAAATAATAAAAAGGAAGATAGAAAATTAAAAGAAACTAGATCAGCTAGGATAATAAAATATCTTTACTCACATTTGAAGCAAATCCATAAGCAACAGTATCAAGAAAATCCTTTAATTTAGTTTGTGAATTATTTTTCCATTAGCTATAGCAAGATACTCACCCCAAAAGCTTTTAGGGATAGATTTAATTGTCAAGAAACATGTATAATTAAGCCAACTGTGATTGAATTTTAAATTATATTTCCAGAGAGATCACTATATTGACCTAAATATCTATGGCCGTTTCTAATTGAATGTCGTTCTCATCAATTTCAAAAACAGACATTAGTCTCTGTAACTGATTGAAATATCATTATCTAAGTGACACTGGCTTCCTCAACCAGTCTTTTTCGTTGCCTGTCCATCATCTGGTACAGTATTTTCATAATAGCATTTATGAATTAAGTAAACGTTTTCGCATGGATTTCTTCCTTTCCTGCTTTGTTGGCATTTCTTCACCAATTCTATCGCCCTGTCCTTATCCATGCTGGCTGGCAGCCTGTTCCTAATGTTGGAAAGGATTGGTTCTCCAGATTCCGTCACAAAACCTGAAATAAATAAAAAAATATCATCACTCCTCTCTTGAAGACGTGAATCGCCGCGGGCTTAACAAGCCGAGATACACAAAATATTGTCTACGACCGCCAATAGTTGAAAATTAAGAGTAGCTTTTGGTTAGAATTGAAAATAAAAACAAAATGATCATTCTATTACCGATAGTTGCGCTATCGCCTAGTAACGAATATATAATGACAATTTCCGTAGTCGCCATATTGTCTTCGACATAGGTTAATTTTTCATAGCGGGCGTAACAGCTATTTTACCGTTCTAAGGCGTAAAATAACCCGTGGACTGAAAAATGGCGCTTAACGGGGCTCCAACAATCACGAGCACCATCTGCTGAGGTAACGGGAGGGGTGAAAAGGAAACGAGGGTAGGCTGGCCTTAGACGCTCGTCGGCGCTACTTTAAAAGAGGAAAGGATGACTGCGGGTGCGTACCGATGTACATTTTTATAATAACAGAGTCGGATTTCGATTAGCGATCTAGCCTGTAAATCGTTTCCTATTTGCAAGTGATCATTTAGTATTGTTCTACCCTTGTTACTGTTCGTAGATATTGTGTTGTTAAATTTTTGTGCTGTACTCTTGTTGGTGTGATTGTTCTTGAGTGCCTTTTTTTATCAAGGTTGATAGTGGACAATAAGAGGTCATATGCGACAATTTTAATTACGAATGCAGTGAGTTTAATTCATGATGAGGACAACAAGTGTCGAGCAGTTCAACTCTATAATCGCAAAATACATTGGGGTAAGCGAATAAGTTATTGCAAGAATAGGTCATACCATGGATGATGTACTGCAGCTGTAGTGAGCCACAATATCGAGCGGCCCGTCTAGGTGGTCCAAATAAATTTGCGTTCTAAGCTTAGTCCAACCTGGCATATCACTAAGATGGAACAAAGTCTCAAACGCAAGAATCTTGAAAATAAACTCAGACCAAATAAAGCTGATATAAAAATAACTAACAATTCGGATAGCAAGTCCAAAGAAAATGAATAGTTTTATGGCGAATTCTGTCAGAAGCCTGACATGAACGACATTGATTTCTAGGTTGCTAAGCAAAAATTTTTAGGGAAACAGAAAAAGTGACGACGAGATTTTGCAGATCGAACAAGTCACCAAATCACAGGACTGTACTTTGTGGCGTCTTCATCGGAGGATGAGGTTAACAGCGTCTCGATTTGGTGAAGTTTGTAGAAGAAGGCAGACAGCAATCAGTAAAGTTCTAGTAAACACCATCTTATACCCAACAGAGTTTTCTAGTAAGGCAATAAAAAAAGGCAATACAAAAATCATGGGACACGGCAGTTCAATTTTTTTTTTATACTCCAACTACCACGAAGGCCTAAGACCTAAGCACCCATTGGGTACCGTGGGGCTATAGGGGGATACATGGGAAAAGGGGGGACGCCACACGGACTCTGGCGAGGGCAACATGCACACATTCTGGCTCCGCCTACGAGAACCGCCGGGTGGTACCTCCGCGTTCGACAGTCAGAGACCATCTACCACCTACGGACAATCACAACATCCATATCCAAGAGAAAAATTTCTCCTGGGACGGGACTCGAACCCGCACAGCGCACGGCGACTGATCAGGAGACGGAAGAGTCTACTACTGCGGCCACCGCCGCTGCCTAAAACAAATACACAACATCCATGGCGAAGGCGAGATTCGAACTCGCGGCCCGGCCGGCCGGCTGATCAGTAGCACGACACTCTGACCCACGCGGCCAACCGAGGTCCCGATCTTGTGGTTTGTATATTGATCGCACACATCCATTTCTGGCAGCATCACCTCCATCTACCTATTACAGTAGACAAGACATGTACTTAATACAGGTTGTTTATTGCTTTGCAAAAACTACCTAACTGTTTCCTCTTATTTTGACCGCATAAGATATTTTTATTACCCTCGTTCAATTGTTACCATCTACCACATGACCCTTGTAAACATAATTGTGTTTATTGACATGAATAAACGAATTTGAATTTGAGTTCTTGAATTTATTTCAGGAAAGATATAAAATTATTTGAATACATTTTTTCTTAGTCGGAACGCACCGTCGCGTCGCTTGGACTGGCAGGACGAAACAGTAGATGAATTTCGCCCAAAAACCGATTTACACTTCACAGCGTCCGTTTCATTTCCAAATGAAAGTCTTGCAGCGTGCTAACAATAAAGTCCACAGGTTGCTATCCACTTTTTCGGTTTTATCCACTAGGATCTTTTTAAAATATCAAGAAGTTGAGCATAAATAGTAAGCATTTCAACCCACCATAATTCTTGCGCAAAGAAAAAAATTTTGTAAGAAGCTCTGATAGCACCCTAGGCAATTATGTCCTTCCCTCCTGTCGGCAGTTGCAGATAGATCTGTTGGCTCTTGGTGTCAAACCTATAGAGCAGGTACCGATTTTTTCAAATCGTGAGCATATTATTCGTCGGATTTTCGTTACTTAAATTTCCTGTAATTACTGGGATCAGAAGCGTCTTAATAATAGAACGTGTTTCACTGATTTCAACCCCCGCTTTTTGAGCAGTACCATTTTTTTATGTCAATGATTAGGAACCCCTGAAACGTCAAAAACGGAATCTCAGCAATTGTTACTTTTTCTTTTTTGTCTATAGCACCGTTGCCACTGGACTAACACTACAAAGCTTTGGCTTACTAGTAACCCCGTGTGGAAATTTCATATAAATCCTAGCGGTAATTTCCAAGTTGATGATGAGTGATACAGTTTTTCGTGATGTAGATGTCATATGACTTAAAAAAACATAACATCTCATTTTAGAAATATTTCGGGATTAAAATACTTTCTCGCCAATGGCGTGAGAAGTAAAACGGCTTTAAAATCGAGGAGTATCAGCGATCGCGATTATGAGTACCTATTTGCAGAACGACTTATCTACGCGATATTATATGAAATAGAGCCACCAAACTATCTGAATACGTCCTTTCTTAGTCCGTACATTGCGCCGCGCCGCAATGCTTGGGTTGGCAGCACGAAACAGTAGACAAAATTCGTCCGAAATACGATTTGTAGAGGTTTGCGCGCTTCGAGATTGACGCTTTATATTTTGATATTTTTGGATGAAATTTTCACAGTGTAACTGAAGACAAAATTCCACAGAGCCACTTTTTCATTTTTTTTTCACTAAGTTCTTTTTAAAAAAATCGCGAAGTAGAACAAAAAAGTGCGCACTTCTACCTATCATAAAACTTATGCAAAAACGAAATTTCAAAAAGTGCTCCTATAGCACCCTGGGCTTATCTTCTCAACATACTGTATGAATTTCATTCAAAAATATTGGAAAATAGAGTGTCAGTTTCGAAGCAGCTGAACCCTTGTAAATGGCTTGAAACTCATTGCGTTGGAGCCGCCTTAAGGGCCGGACAATCTATTCACTTGCAGATAAACATCTTCATTGGAGTACTATGTATAAACAACAGACAAATGGAACAATTTCGTTATCCAGGCGTTCCGCGTATTCACGGGAAATCCAGAAACAGGTCATTTAAAAAAATCGTCCATTGCTGCTTAACACGTTCAGGGTGAAAGTTGTAGTAGGGAAGCCCAATAGGTGATTTTTGGTGGTATTTGAAATACTAAATGTTACAATCATTCTGTTTTCAACACTACCTATGAGAGGACAGTTTATGAAAATGTAGTAAAAAGCACCCCACTCTTTTTACTCTGAATTGAATTATTCTGTTAATAACTTAAATTTTATTATAATTTTATTTTGAGGTCATTATTTATGATTGATTGTTTGACCATCTACTACTGTAATATCAACTCTTCCTAATTAAAAATTATTTTCTACTTTTTAGTTCGGTTAGTTATACAAGCGTGTTTTTTTAGTTTTTTTAAACTGTTATTTATTTTTCATTTTTAGTTCGATTTATCAATTAGTTTTTTGTAGACATGTGGTATTGAAATGTCTCACGAATCTTTTCGTAATCTAATCATTTCATTCAAAGCTTCACTGTTGCATGGGGTTTTTCCTATTCACTTAGAGCGATCAAGTTCTTCAATCCGAATACCGTCTAAAGAACTTACACGACTAAGTGCAACATAAGCTTGTCCTGCATCAAACAGTCGCGAGCCTAGATAAATGGCTGCATCATCGACTGTACAACCTTGCATCTTGTGGACGGTCGAAGCTCAACTCAGGATTACTGGCAACATTCGCAATGAACAAGGTGAGAATGCACTACCTTGAAAAAGTATCTGCCTCCTGCCAACTTTATTGGATATCATTTTTCTGAGACAATATACAAATAAATGTTAGATGAAAAACTTCATATTAGGCCCTACAACTTTTATATACAACTTTTTCTTCTGGATGGGCATATCAAAAAGTTAGAGGGGGTCAATTTATAGCCGGACACCCCGCGCCTCTTAGCGATGCCGACCTTTTTATGTGTGTTTGTGTAGCATAAGGTAATTAGGTAAGTTTCGGCTCATAGCCGTAACGAACCAAATGATACAGCAGTAACTGATTATGGCAATTCAGATAAAAGTTCTGATACGCTACTCAATTTCGACGGATTTGATTTTTCCAGCAATACGGAACTTACATAAGTTGGCACTGAAATGGATGTGAGAACGTGGTGAAGTATCGTGGTAAATAATTTATGTACTATTTTTGCTTCAGTAATCCAGATGCTGAATGGCTTTCTATTTTTGTTACTGAAAGCATCGGCATTGCGATGATAAGGATATCATTCAAGCTCCCATCGCTCTTACAACGGATTCACATCCAAAAGATTAATCGTTTTTGGGGCGAAAGCTTAGTATGCCGGAAAGAAGAATGTTTGTCCCCCACATTCTATCATCTATTATGAATAATTCAGATATTTTTTAAAGTTCATCAGCACGGTTGTTTACCAACTTATCCTTCAAATTATATCTAACAAAGTTATGTTATGACTACATGGTATTTAGGAGGATGTGTCTTTTAGAAGTATAATGAATAATACGCACTGATTTTCTTCAGACTATTCCGGCGAGTCAAATGAGAGAATAAAAGTTGGAATTGCTGTGGGGGATCTTCTAGCACACTTGAGGCAAAGGTGGAGTAAACTCATCCAGTCATATAGTGAGGCTCATGTCGTTTCTCTTGTTATCACGAAAGCTTTCGATCGGATGTGGTGTTCCACAGGGATCGGATCGGCCCCGACATTGTTTCTGTTACATTTCAACGACGATGGGTTTCTACCAAGATGTAGTTCATTTCCGAAGACTTGATCTGGCACCTACACAATATTGAGCACACTTGAGGCAAAGGTGGAGTAAACTCATCCAGTCATATAGTGAGGCTCATGTCGTTTCTCTTGTTATCACGAAAGCTTTCGATCAGATGTGGTGTTCCACAGGGATCGGATCGGCCCCGACATTGTTTCTGTTACATTTCAACGACGATGGGTTTCTACCAAGATGTAGTTCATTTCCGAAGACTTGATCTGGCACCTACACAATATTGAGCAAAACAGTAACAAAAGAGCAGATTAGCAGGAATCTCAACATTATTTGCTCATTGGCTCACTCTTACCTTCAGTGACAAGAATAAAAAAAATAGCTTGACCGAGCTCAAACTGTGATGAGTTATCATCAACATTAATGAAGGTCCCGACCATGGCTGTATTAATTCTACTATCCTGACTCCCATGGTTGTAAATACACTACTCAAAACAAAGCTTAGACTAAGGACAACAGACATAATGTCGTTAATGATTTACGTGGTGTAGGTGGCCTAATAAGAGATTGTCATAGTACCCTTTGGCGACTAAAATGATTGCACTATCATATCTGTAGAGAGAAAAAATACAAACCAGTCTTCTGGTAAAAGCATTTGATAAAGCAATGTAACTTTGGATCATCTACGAAGAGTCCTTTGTCTGCTTTTTCCAGCAATGCCGGGTTGACTTTTGTCTCGACGATGCATTCATCTCGGTTCTTTATCACAACAGCTTTTTCTTGTTCTGTGTACTTCTGAAAGGGATAATAACTAATATTTTATGTTACTAAATACAAAGAGACTTTTTATACTACCTTGCAAGATAGTGTCAATTCAACTCAAAGACGGAGAAGAAAGTTTTTATAGATTATTAGAATTTTTTTACCCCTACAGGAGCATATCCTTTTTACGCCGAAAAAATATCAACGTCGTTTTAAAACGTGCAAGAACAAAGTTTGTGGACGATCCGGACCTTTTTGGCTTTTTGTCCATAACTCTGCGGCCATTGTACTAATTTTCAACAGTACAACCACGTTACCTGCTAATGACCATACCATATCTTTTTTCAAAATTCGTTAAAATTGGAGCGGCTGTTTCTTGGGATATGCGGTTTGAAATACGCCAACAAATAAATAGACTGACGGGAACGAGTCGTACCAATTTTCGCGATCTGAACGTTATGTGACATGAACAACTATTTACCTGTTTGAAAATTTCCTGGATTACGATACGTCGCTCGCATATACATTAAAAATAAAATAGTGCATGACAAATTGCAAAGTAGGTTCCTTCAGAGACATACAAACTCGAAAATCGATGGTATTAATGTATTCCTCTACATAAAATGAAAACATACTGATATGTTATTTAAATATAATTCAGGAGAAAAAAAGGCATTCCAACACGAGATGTCACAAAACTCAGTACTTTTAGGTTTCCTAAATATTTTATAATTATGGATTAGAAACGAACATACAAAAGCAGGATCTATATATTTTTTAAATACGCTTTTTTCCAAACAAATTAACTTAATAATCGAAAACTACAAAATCGGGAGTTGTTAAGTTTGGGAAGACATATCTCGATATAAAATATGACAGCATCATGAGCAATCATCAAAATCGATTCAGTGCTTACTGAAACTAGGCGATCACAAGAGAGCTACGGACAGATTCATGGCGAGGCGATGAATTTACGTAATAATATGCACAAACTGATTTCAATTATACAAATTAAGAACTGAGTTATAATTAAATAAAACTTTGGGGTAGAATACATATGTAAATTCATTTTGACGTATAAAATTTGAATAGACTCTCATTTTTCATTGGATAAGAAACCCGTTTGTCCGTCTGTAAAAAAATACCATCATTTTCAATGAAATTTGGAGGCGATATAATATAGTCATAGTAGGTAATTTTCCAAAATCTTTACATGATGGATGAGCTATGAGTAGGGCTACCATCATCTAAATTATCGACGCTGGACAAAAGCTACAACATCCCCGGACATTTGAGTGAAATTGAGATGTTTCGCTGGACACAACGCTGCAGCTTCCAGCTTTTTTAATTAATAGGTTGTTGACGGTTTATTTCACAATGTTTGAAAAAATAGATAACTGACAGCATAACAAGTGAAATACTCAAGTAATTACTAATGGTAATCTTGTAACAAAAATAATTAGATACACTTTTTTGCATGAAATTAATAACAAACTATAATTATGATTTTAGGGTGATGAGGGTTGTTGTATCGGGTGATGCGAGTCGTTGTAATGAGATAATCATACGTCTTACATTTCACAAGATTTTCTTGACACAAAAAATGACCCTGGATTCCCGGAACTCTTTTAAAAACCCTTCCCGAGTGGCCCCCAAACTAGGACGAATACCGGATGGATGGTAGCCCTAGTTATGAGCAAAAATAGAAGTTTTAGTAATTATTTTCGAAATAATAATTTCAAAAAATATACTAATTTCGATTTTCATAAGAAATGTATGCACGGGAAATATTTTTCAAGCATTTCTTAATCTGTAACTTCATTCTTTTCATACTTTTGTGAAACTCAGAAATTATAGGTATAGGAAATTTGGAAACAGATCAATACCAAGTATGAACGTGTGGAGAGTATTGATTCAAACTACTTGACATCATTCAATCTTATTCCTTCTCCCACGTTTCATAAATTATATTGTTACTAACAAATAATTAAAGATCACATAATTTCTAATGTGATAACTATTAAAGAATAAGCAATAACATTTAGTAATGTTACTTACCTGTGAGCAACAGTCTCCAAAAATTGCACCGATCACAACGAGTACCGCGTAAACTTTCATTTTCACCGACAGCACCAGATTGATTGAAAGACACTCTCTCTTCGATTTGTTATTTATAATGCAATTCAGTGCAGTTATGAAATTTAATCGCAATTTATACGCTATTTCCACAAAATCGTGTTAATTGTTGGATTAACGGTAATTATGTTACTATAGACATGTTATTCGACATCAAAGATTTTACTAAAGGGTATTGTTGGATTGCAATTATACAAGAACTAGGATAAATCTGCTAGTATGAAATAATCCTATCAATGTATACTAAGTGACATATAAATCCGAACACCCACTTTAAATGGTTTTATTTTAATAAAATTTTGTATAAGTACTTAATCAAGCTTAATAAGTAAATGATAAAAATTTCAAAATGATTGCACTGCTTTAAAGCCCTTTGCCCTTTAATAATGTGTGGATGCACCCTGATGTGCTACGCATTCTCCAACGCGCCTAGGCATGCTTCTGATCAGGTGGTCAATGTCCTCCTGTGGTATCTCATTCCAGGCAACCACCAACTCCTCTCGAAGTGCTTCTAGAGTCTGAGGAGGACGTTGCAAATTGAGCAATCTCCTACCCATCATATCCCACACGTGCTCAATTGGGGATAAGTCGGGATATCTTGGTGGCCATGGTAACAATGTGACATCATTATGTTGAAAGAAGTCTATTGTGACTCTTGCAACATGTGGTCGGGCATTATCTTGTTGGAAAGTTGGATCTGCCAGGGTGTCAAGATAGGGTAAAAGATGGGGTTCTAGAACTTCGTGGATATAACGCTGCGCGTTCATGTTACCTCTGATGAAGATTAAAGGTGACCTGGAACCATAAGCTATAGCACCCCAAACCATAACTCCAACAGTGTGATGAACATGTCTTTCAACAAAAAACTGTGAACCTAAGAAATCAAATTATCTTTCAAAGAGACGGATTGATAGGTCATAATCAATCAATAATCAATCAATCAATCATGGAGGAAACGGACATGCTGGTGGACTTACAAAACTACCACAGTCTGGGAATGCCTTCCGATATAATCCAAAGATAACAAGATATACTAAACCCTACTCAGTGACAATTCCACACAGGAATGAGTAGGAACAGCAAGTTGATAAGGATAGATATTTGTGCATTCAAGATGGCTCCAAGACCGATGTAGGTGGTGGAGCTGGTATCTTTGTGCTGAAGCTAAAAATTAAAAAATATGTTAGCCTAGGAACCTGGGCATCGATCTTCCATTCAAACCTATATGCTATGGAATTGGATGCCAGAATGATCGCAGAACGAGAACTGAGGCACAGAACTATATTTGCTTTGCTTCAGATAGTCAAGCCGCACTGAAATCACTTGAATCCACGTACTCGACATCGAAATTAGCGTGGAATTACAAAGAAGCTCTCGGTGTCATAGGGGAGGGAAATGAAGTCCGTCTCATATGGATACCAGGACACACAGGTCTAGAGGAAAACGAGACAGATGACACTCTGGCAAAGAGTGGGGCTAGCACACCCTTCATAGGGCCTGAGCCAGCGATTGGGATCGCATACAATACGGCTAAACAAATAATATTTGCAGAGATGGACAGAAAGATCCATCCATGCTAAGGCCTCTATACTGATCTTGACAAAGAAGGTAATACATTCTTTGCTACGGCTGAACAGGAATAGCCTCAAAGCTGAAATTGCATCAACACATGAACAGGCCTGGGCATGACTAAAGACGCTGAGTGCAGACTGTGCGTGGAGGGAGTTGAAACGGTCAGCAATGTATTGTGCAGATGCCCTGCAATTGCCACAATCAGGTACAACATACTTGGAGACGTAGAACTCCAAGTAGAAGACTTGAAGGATATTTCTCCAAACAAGTTAATCGACTTCCTCGGGAGGTTTGAGTTACTGAGGGAAATATAAATAGGTGTGAGAAACAATAGACCAAAGAGTCGCAGTGGAGGATCGTTATTGATGCACTCACAAGAAACCTAACATAACCTAGTTGAGCTTTTCACATTGAATCGCTTATAACTCAGTAACTAATCTACACAACACTATAGTATATCAATATAGATTTATCTGTTACTTATGAGTGGTTAGTATCAAAAATTCACTTCCAAAGCTTAAACAAAAATTCATGCCAAGGTTGTGACCCAAGATTAAGATCAACCCCATCAGTCTTGAAAAGCAGATACAAATAATCTATAGGTGGAGGATACCCAATTTTTAGAATAGCTGAATGAGACTTTCTTCGTTTGTAAACCGCCTCTTGGCGTGATAAGACAATCAAGGCAGCTTAGTGTCGTATGTGTTCAAGGTGCCCAGAAAATCCAATTATTCATATAGGTTTTAATATATGAAATGTGTTATTGAATAAGCTGTTTGATGATTGTATTTTGGCTAGTATAAATATGAAAAAAAGGTTCATCAATTCAGATTATTATGATAATTTGATGATAAATTTTCACTGCCTAGGCACATACTGCACAAAGTTTAGCCTAATTTTCGGTGAATATCGGGTTAACTACTACATTTATATACAGTTTTATTCATATTGCAGCATTCTTTCTAAGCACTGCTGCTTATAAGTTGATTTCTCGCATATTCAGGGTGTGGCAAGTGTTTGATAGATTGCATTGAAACATTCACAATCAAAACGGCAGTTTGAATTTTCTGTGATTCCCATAGAAGTAGAGGGTAGGTTTATCCTTAAATTATCGCTAGCTCTGTCTCGGACATACTGCAGGACTTTTAACTGATTTAGGGATAGTTGCAATAATCTCAAAAGGCCGTTGTGCCGCTGAATGATAATCTTTTCTATGCAGGATCTGTGCAGGACCAATGCTTGAAATATATTATAAGAACGTTATCTAATAATGAATGGGTTCTCTTCTGGCGGAAAGTCTAACTAGATTTTGACCGCAATCTTTCGACTTGTGCGGTATGAATGATTTTGCAATGAAATCATTCCATAACCTTAGTCGGTTTTGATTGTTGCGAAGAAAATCTGTAGAATTCCTTTCTTTTTTATTTCGACTATGAGCACGAGACGATAAAATACTGTATTGAATGTCATATTTAATTTATTTAATGTGTCTTCTTTGTGACATATACTTGTATGTATGATCATTTTGAAGAGTGATTTAATAATATGCATTTGTACCGAAGAAAAAAATGCCTTTTGAAGGCCTTTTTGAAAGAGAACATTTATTTTCCTTCTCAGTCTTCCAAACTCTGTTATTATGTCCAATTTGAGGTCTGGTCTGGTATACAATATAAATGATTATCCTGATAATTTCAAGGCCTACCAAGGAACTTCTGTTTTTCTGGAATAATTAAGGTTTAGCAATGTCAATGTATGACATATTTTACATTTTTGAAATCAGAATTAGAAACTCTATTCATCTACGCAAATATCCCGTAAGGCGTTAATGGAAAAAATGAAGTTGCTGCTGAAGGACAAGAGACGAAACATCATACCATGCCATGCATCTCACGAATTACTTTGCACTGTGTTTTTTCAATTTTTTTATAGGAAAAAATTAGATACCCGAATGGTATTTGGCGAGACTATTTCATGAGTAACAGATTATCTAGTGACCCAGAAGTCCATGATTACTTGTTATTTTGGTGACAACAGCTGTCAAGTTTTGCCGCGGGTAAACTCGAAACAACTGGTGATAGGTGCAAGTTTTCCATCTAGAAACCGTTTGTAATTCAAAATTGCGCGTTTGTGATTGGTAGAAACTGAGACGAGGGAAATAGTCACTAAAAATGCTCATCTTCGATGAAGCGATTTGTAGTGCATAGGGCGAACCGAAATTTCGGATTGTACAGTCTGCAAAAATCAAAAATTCATCAATTTTTGGCTTCCAAATAAGATTAAAAATTGCTTTAAAATAAACCGTTTTCGAGTTATAAGCGATTTAATGTCTGAATAACCCTAAAAATGGTTATCTTGAATGCTTAAAAACTTGGTTAAAAATTATAGTCTTTTAGTATTATGAAGAGCATTTTAAGAATGCAATTTTTAACCTTTTTTTGGTAGACCAAAATTAGCGAACTTTTTATTTTCGCAGGCTATACGCTCAAATGACATTCCACAGCTCTAATCTTTTTATCAATTTGCGATCTTCCTCACACGCTGTGTAACAATTCCGCGCGAATCTAATTGTCGGTTTTAATAGTTCCCTTTATCGAATTTTCAGATTTATCCTCGAAGAGCAGAGAAATAGCGCCTTTGCAGGATGGCGAATCCGGAACAGATAAAGCGGCTCAATTTGGACAAAGCGGCGAATTTCATGCGGCAGTATAGGGACCCGCAGTCGAGGGAGCTGCGAAAGCTGTCTGCCAATCAATTCATGGAGGTGTGGAGCCACTATGACAAGGATGGTGAGTATCCAAAATTTTCCACTATTCTTTACTACAATAAACCAGAATAAGAATACTTTAAATCCCTCACGGTGATATAAAACACAAGAGAATAATGTCACAATGTTCCTCAAAAATAAAATAATGATTTTGTAATAATATTACAGGAGACGAGAGTAAGATACTGTATCTACTCTACCACCTAACTCCCTTAACAATACAAAATGTATAAAAAATAAAAATTGGTTGAAAATATTAATACCTGCGTACAATAAGGATAATAAAAAAATAAATGTAAAGGCATAAAGAAAACATAAGGTCAGAAAACACTTATTGGTTACAACTGATTTCGCTGCTGATAAAGTAGAATTTTTTTCACTTTTTTCTCAAATTTGGGTAACGAGTTTTATATTATTTATTTATTTTAAACCCTTTCTACGGATTTATATAATTTGATCGCATTGTAAATATGTGTATTCTGCAATAGAGGTGTGCTCTATATTTAGATATATTAAAATTAGTATTAATGCCATGCATATTTCCTCTACGTATGGATTTGGTTACTACATATGACGGTATTTTTGAATAAAGAACCCTATGAGTCAGATTTAGGAGCTGGTATTTATACATTTTATCAATTGTCATCCAGTTAAGGTCTTTACTAGCCTTCGATACATGATCATATTTTTGAGATTATTTAAAAGTCTGCAATATGTATTCATAATAATTAGAATACGATTTTTTTTGTTATAATATCCAAGTTTTTATTTATTTTGTTATAATATCTAAGTTCACCACTAAGCAATACGATCTTTTGTTTCTCGCTGATTTACGTAATAAAGCCTTATTTGAAAATGGAGCTCTGAGAATAGCGTAGCACTCGGAAATTAGATAGTTTACGTGTTCAATAAATTTCAAGTCATCATTCATTATAATACCTAGGTTCGTAGAATGATCCATATGAACTATACTAAGTGACATATAAATCCGAACACCCAGTTTAAATGGTTTTATTCTAATAAAATTTTGTATAAGTACTTAATGAAGCATAATAAGTAAATGATAAAAATTTCAAAATGATTGCACTGCTTTAAGGCCCTTTGACCTTTAATAATGTGTGGATGCACCCTGATGTGCTACGCATTCTCTAACGCGCCTAGGCATGCTTTTGATCAGGTGGTCAATGTCCTCCTGTGGTATCTCATTCCAGGCAACCACCAACTCCTCTCGAAGTGCTTCTAGAGTCTGAGGAGGACGTTGCAAATTGAGCAATCTCCTACCCATCATATCCCACACGTGCTCAATTGGGGATAAGTCGGGAGATCTTGGTGGCCATGGTAACAATGTGACATCATTATGTTGAAAGAAGTATATTGTGACTCTTGCAACATGTGGTCGGGCATTATCTTGTTGGAAAGTTGGATCTGCCAGGGTGTCAAGATAGGGTAAAAGATGGGGTTCTAGAACTTCGTGGATATAACGCTGCGCGTTCATGTTACCTCTGATGAAGATTAAAGGTGACCTGGATCCATAAGCTATAGCTCCCCAAACCATAACTCCAACAGTGTGATGAACATGTCTTTCAACAAAAAACTGTGGATTCCTCCTTTCACCACGTCGCCTTCTAACCCTGGCACGACCATCGTGCATGCCTAAACAAAATCGAGACTCGTCACTAAAGACAATACTGTTCCATTCCTGATCCCAGAGTGACCGTTGTCTGCACCACTCAAGGCGATTACGTCGGTGTTCTCGAGTTAAAGGGAGGACCCAGTGTGGCCGGTATGAAAACAAGCCAAAACTTCTCATTCGTCGGTAAACACTTCGCATGCCAATAGGTCTTCCGTGTTCTGCAAACCATTCATTTGCAATGGACCTGGTAGTGGAGAAACGGTCCCTTAAGGCCAATAATCTTAGGCGGTGATCTTCACGGTCTGTTGTTCTACGGCGGCGTCCAGTGCCCCTTGTTCTTTGCGTACAGCCTTCTCGAAGCCATGCCTGACAACACCTAACTACAGTGTCTACATTTCTTTGCACTCTAACTGCAATTGCCCGAAAAGAAAGTCCAGCTTCCCGAAGTCCCACTATATGGCCCCTATCAAACTCACTAAGTTGACGAAATCGTACAGGTCTCCGTACTCTAGGCATCGTAACCGATCGTAAAGGATGTCAAGAACCAAAATCCGCCAACGTTGATTCTTTACTGCGGCTGAAATATTCATTTTTAGAGCGTTAGTGAATTAAAAAAAAGCAGTATAAAAACCGGAATGTCCAACTGATAAGGCTGAAAATTTTTTTACTTGTTATTTACAGTAAGATAAATACATTCACCAACTTTTATTAAAATAAAACCATTTAAACTGGGTGTTCGGATTTATATGTCACTTAGTATATTTTATTACCTTTTGAATTTATTTATGCCATTTTTAAAGCATTCCATTCCATTTTATTTGCATATAATAACATATTTTGATGTGTAAAGGGTTAAAATGGAGATTGTGACTACTACTAAACGGTTTAATTTGGGCAAAATCTTGATTAATATTATTATTATTCCCTGTTTCCAAGTCAGTACTCTTAAATGAAAAGAAAATCTGAGTATCGTCGATAAAAAATTGTATGCTGCATGATTTTACCTCTGTTTTTAAATCTGAGATATAATCAAAATAAGGCATATCCCTGTGGTATGTCAGAACAAATTTTTTAAGTGGTAGACTACTGTTGAAAAAAATAAATAGGTTTTTCAGAAAATCCATAATAACTGCATTTAGACACAAGAAGTGAATGATTAATATGTTATGACCTACGGGGAGATCCCCTACGAAGATACAGGTCCTAAAAGAGCACTACTAGAAATCGAGTATTATGAAGTTTTGAACGATGCTTCAAAGTTTCACGAAAGTTTGACAAATTGAGAACTATTTGGTATCCACAGAAAACTATTTATTCACTCATTCAAATCGTAAGGTGTAGACTTGCCTGACGCAATATTGCGTATATTTGTTACGCCCTGTATAATAATGATTCAAAAATGATATCTTTGAAAAAAACGATTCTATAGCTAAGGAACACGTATTCTATTTGATTAAGATAGCATCTTTTAAGAAAATAGCATTGTGTTAATACTACTCCTAAATACATCATTGGTCATTCAAAGAAGGTAAAAAGTACGTTGGTCTAAAATTGTTGTGCTAGTACTTTTATTATTAATATAATTATATGATATATAATATAAAGTATATATTGTATATATATATATATATATTATATATATATATACTTTATACATACAACAATTTCTGTTAAAATCGTAAAGTGGTTTGATGTACAAAGCGAAGAGGCAAGGGCACAAAAATTTTCTGTGGATAATTTAGTCTATTATGGCCCTGTACTAAATCTCTTCGGAATATGATTTTGCAATTTGAGAAAGAAAGAATTAATAGTATCTACCCTTGAAAATGGGGGAACTTTGATGCCCGCGTTTATAACTTAACCTATGTTGAATACAATATAGCCATTATGAGAACCGCCCTTATTGATACATACTTTTAATTTTACTTGAAAGCATATTCCTCATTAAGTAGAACTATGATCAATGGACGACATATGATTAGCTGAAGATTGGAATAATCGAAAAGAAGGGGCCGTTTACTTATGAAAATAAAAAAATGCCGAAAGAGCTTCCATTACCCGTTCTACCTTAGTAGTATAATAGCATTCCTATCTCACCATTACATCGTACGGCATCAATCGAAGAAGTATTGAAAATTGTCAGAGGCTATCTTCAACGCTCGCCTACGTACAGCTAAAGCAGCACTTGCGATGATGGACCCCATAATTGGATGTGAAAGTGCAAATAAATGTTGTGTGCATTGTTTCCACTTTGGATCATGGACCTGTGCAACTTCTATCAAAGATAAGTCGGAAATACAGCAAATTTGCAACATAAACTCTATAGTGAAGCTACAGAAACAACCAATCCTCAAGGACTGGAGATGGAATCTATCCGATCTTAACACCTCTCCTCCACGCATAAAGGAGACTCTATAAAGGCACGCTGGTAGGGCAGATCTGACCTAACGACTATCAAATGCTGGCACAAATAAATGAATATCTTTGTAATGTTATATAAAATAAATAAATTTTGATTGAAAATTGTAGAACTTTAGATTTATTACATGAACATTGTGGAAAGCGTATCGGTCAACCATATTTCTGTGAGCTCATCTGCTTGTCAGACTTCGGTAAACTCTTAGTAGGAATGACGTCTTGTAGTTTTTGAAAATAGGTGCAGTGGTGGGTAGAGCAGAGTTATCAGCATTAAAATCGGAAATAATGAATAGGGTGGCCTCTTAACAAGCTTTTTTTTAATACTTGCATTGCATTAGATGATTTTCAGGTTTTTGTAAGTGCACACATTGTAGCTACAGGTGTGACAAAATAGGGAATATCAAGAAATTTAATAATTCTATATGGGTCAACTATGTACGTGTTGTAAACATTTCGTTAGTAGCTAAGTGACTTATCACGTAAAATAATTTAACAAAGAAATACAAACTTCGTTGAAAATTTACTGCGTTCCGGTACTTAAACATTACCGGAGGTTCCAGAATGTTTCGTAGAAATAAAGCACATACAGTGCTTTTATGAAGGAAGATATATTTTCTTTTGTTCTCAGAAGACTGCAGTTTTATTCTAATTGAATTCACTTGTGGTTCTCCCGTGGTTTCGGCAATATTATGTATAAATCGTATTGAATTAAAAAGTTATACAAAAGCAGGAAGTGAAAAGGTAATTATACGCCGACTACACTCTTATTGGAAAAACACTATTGTATACTTTCAAGGTGACGATTATTCATTGAAGAAGGAAGACGACAGCATGCTTAGCAATGCATACCAAAACTAAATTATGTTCAGACTTATGTAACAAATACAACGGAGACTTAATTTTACCGCAATTAGGATAGAAAGATGATTTAAGAAGTGTTTGTTGATCTCGGCCTCATATGTGGAATATAC